AATTTTCTCTTTTGTTAATTTTCCTTTTGTTTTTACTCATTTTTTTTTTAGTTTTTATAACTATATTGTTTTCATTTCTGGGATTTCTAACTCATTCCTTTTCACATCCAATTTTGGTTTATTTCTGACTATTTTTGCTTCAGAGTTTCTTGTTCTGTTCTTAGGGATGTTTTCCCTTGTCTCTCTGATGATCTCAGACTTATTTATCTTCAAGTCATTTTCAGATTGAGCTACTTATTTTCCTTTCAGATAAACTGCATTCATTTCTTGATTATTGAAATTTAGGATGTTACACATCCTATCTTCTCTTAGGATTTATTTTCCTCGTGTGTTCTGAAATTTTAGATGATACTCTCATCTGGAGCGGGAGACGTGCCTTCTTCATCTTTCTTTTCCTTGCTTCACTCTCTGCTCTTTGCTCTTTCCTCCTGACAGCTTTGCAATGACATTCACTTGAACTCACAGGGTCGGCAGTCCAGACTCGGTCTTCTGTTGTTTGATCAGGTTGCACAAGCTCCCATGGGGATACGGTGCCTCTCAGAGATGCAGCCGGAAAACCAGGCTGGGGATGGTTCCTGACTGCCCTGCTGTGTCTGATGCCTGGGTCCAGCAGCAGTTGTCTATAGCATTTTTAAACCTCCCTTCACAAGGAGGGCAAAACCCATCCTGGTTACAGATTTCAGGTAGAATCCTAGCTATGATACCCTTTACGTAGGACATGTTTTGGTCTCTGTGGCCTCATAGGAATGGAACTTGTGGCCCTCTCTGCATGCATCTGGACCAGAACCTAGGAGCTCTGTAGCTCCAGCCCAACTTACTGCTTTTTGTTTCTTCATTGTTATGGTATATAAAAGATGTGTGTGTGTGTGTGTGTGATATTTGTTTGGTGGGGATGTAGTCTCAATGTATATAACTTAAGTCAGAAAAAATATTGTAAAAACATGCATTTCATTTCTATAATATCAATGGCTCTTTTTCAAAGTAAGGATGAAAACTAGAGAGTAGCCATTGTTTCCTCCAAAATAATCATAAACATGAAGGGGCGCTGTTTGCCTCCCTGTCAAAAGAAGCAGCAAGCTGAAGCTAAGATTTTATTTTCGTTTTCAAAGCATGGTTTGTCCGTAGACAGAAAGAAGACTCTGATCAGCTGATTCCTTCTGATGAGATAGAGTAAGCTGTCAAGTGCTTACCATCTGGTTCAGCTCTTAATCCAGATGGGCCGCCAATAGTAATTTATGAAAGGTTTGAAAGGAACTTGCCATTCTCTGGAAAGAATCATTAGAACACATTAACATTGGGATTTGCTCCCCTCCCCCAGCCCCAATTTGCAACAGATGCAAAGATACAGCAACTGCTTCCATACAGCAAATGGAACAGTCTACTTTTGAGCCAGAAGTTGGTATGTCTCTGCTCGTTGGGGAAAAAATGTCACTCATTTTCCTTCCCCCATCTTTCTCCTCTACTGGCTCAATGCATAGGGGAGAAAACGCTCCCATGTGGAGTTTCTAACAAATGTCTGAAGAAGGCTTCTCAGTCTGTCATTTCTGAGTATCTGTGATGCTTGGAAAAGTCAAAGTCAACTTCAGGAGTATTCTGATGTACCTCGTGCTCACATTACAGACAGGCACCATCTAATCCCTTCTTACAGAGAAAGCCCAGAGGTCAATCAGTATTTCCAAGGCAAATTATAGAGCAACATGTTGTTAGACCTAGAAGTTAGTCCACTGGTAGCCAGTCTCCCACTCAATCAGGCAGCACGTTAGCAGTGTGGCTTCAGAATCAGAACAAAATGATGGCCTGTCAATCAACCAAGTTTCTGTTACCCGCCCTCAGTTTTTGTCCCATCATTTATTTAATATTACTGTGAAGTAATAGGACTCATTCCTGGGTGACTGATGGAATTCTACTAATTTATTTTCAGTTCATGTAAGAATTGCTGGCAGAGAGTGAGGTCATACTTTTCCTTTGATCAAACCATCTTTTCAAGCTCCGAGGAAATTGCCAATATGCATGCTATACATGTTTTAGAATGTTCAGAGGAAAAGTTTGAAATCAGTGTTTAAAGTTTCTAACTGAAAGTGATGGAATTAGGGCTGGTTGGGACCTGCAGATTAGGTTTTCACTAAGAAGGAATGGAGAGGGAGTGGCATGGCTTTAGGAGTGTGACAGATATATTCCAACTGGGAATCAGGAGAGTGAAGAGATTAATGCCCGATCAGACAGAGAAGATTTGGCTGAGGACCAGAGAGAGGAAAATAGGAGCTGGCTAGGGTAAGCAAGATAATTGAGAACTTCTCGCAGTGAGGATGGGGTCTAAGCGACAGGTAAGAGTGGGGTGCACAGTGGACAGGCAATAATAGACAGTGGAACAAGGTAATTCAGTCTGTCTGTCTAAGGCTTCTAATAGAGGAGGGAAGCATCAGGCAACCTAACTATAAATGCTGAACCATACCAAAGAAGAAATTAGGCAGTCTTTGGATAGCCTGAAACTTCTATAGGAGGGCGAAGGGCAAAGTCATCATTGCTTTAGAAAACTATTAGAAACTGTCATGAGTGACGTTTTTATGCAATAACTCTGTGCATACATTCTTCTTGTTCCTTAAATCTATGTCTTCTCTCCTCTGAAATATTGATCAAACAGTATTTTATTTAATTTGAAAATATGCATTAATCTACTACTTACAAGGCTATATGCTCAGGGCTGCAGAGGATGTACGAGTGAATAGACTGTTGTCTTTTGCCTTAAAGAATTTACAGTGCAATTGATACACATGCTAAGGCACAAATCACCATAAAATGAGACGGAATCTCTTTGAAAAATTGGAAATGAATGAGCCTTCCAAAGACAGAGAGAGAGAGAGAGATCCTATTCAGTTGGTTGTGATTCACCTAAATTAAAATTGTAAGTTGCTAAAGAGCAATATTTTTTGGAAGGAATGCTTGATTTGGTTTTGTTTTCGCCATTTCCCGTTCCCTGTGCTGGAGGGACCTTTAAGACATGAATTTGAATGGGGTGCCGTGCCCCTCTAGTGGCCACTTTGTAAGCTACAGACAGTCATTGCCTTATGGGGACAAGCCAGCCAATTTCAAAAGAGCATGCAGGCCAGACTAATCCTGTTTCCATCAACACTCAGCTGAAGGAAAGTGAAATTTTAGAGGACAAATTTCCTCCACCTACTGTCATGTGTCAAGAGTGTGGACGCTGAGATCAGATGAACAGGTTCAGATCCTGGCTCTGCCACTTAATAATTGTGACCCAGGCAAATTAACTGAGCCTTGTCCTCCTCAGTTGGCTCATCTGCAAAATGGAGATCACAATTATACCCAGATCACAGGGTAGTTATGAGAATTAGAAAAGAGACTACTTAAAACATTAAAAATGGTGCCTTGTCACACTAAGTGCTCAATAATTGTTTTTGGAAAATGTTTATCCATTTACTTTCACAAACTTTGTTCTCTATACCTTCTTTTCACTTCTTCACTTTTTCTTTTTTATTTATCTTTCTAATTCCAGATTTGCATATTCTACAGAACACTTCGAACCTATAGTATATAAGACAACTGGGCTTTTAAGTGCCTTTTTAGCATATAATGTCTCAAAGTCTAAACCTAGTCAAAATACAATTATTATTACTGATACACTGCTTTTACAGGATTTGCAGATTTAAATATCATAAGAATTATTTTTAAAAGTCCCCTGATTTATTGATTATACGCTTCACTGTCTCTGAGTTATTAAAATGCAAAACTAATTGTTTTAAGTGTAACATCTGTGGAACATTGTGTGTCAGAAACAAGATTTCTCACAGTGGTTTCATTTTTTCCCCCCAATTAAACTTCTCTGGGACTCCAGTGGTACCCAGAGGACATACTCGAATCCCATGCGCATTTGACAGGATCCTCAAGCTGGTGATGATGAACCCTCACCTCTCTAGCAGCTTCATTGTCATTCTTGTGAAGTTACTTTAACTCTCAGTCACTTGGGATCTTGCCCTCCTTTCATTACTAATTACATTTATTTTTACAGAGTCATAAATTAATTATTTGAGGGAAAATTACTGAAATCTGTACCTCGTTTCAAGATCTTTTTAAACTCTGGGTAATTAATTTTAAGAGTTATCATGTTAATCTTTATTAGGATTTGAGGGAAATGACTGATGGGAAATTGAAGACTTCAACTTCTTCCATAGTAGCACAGGCTCTGTCTCAGAGAAAGGTTGAAAAGTTAAAAAGCGATCATTCCATGGGCAATGTTCTTTCATTGTTTTGCATTGCTAGTAGGCCTAAGTTGGACACAGTTAGGAAACTTGCCCATGTATCTTTAGACCAGAGCAAGTGGGGTCCAAGTCTAAGTTCATTTATTGTTTTAAAGGCATTTTCATTTTTTGAGCTGTCATGTCCCTTCTCTTTTTCTCTTGAGGCCAACACAGGTGAAAAATGACAATGTGAGGCTTGGTTTCTTTTTTATGAGCAAGTGTTTTAGATTCCTAATTGTTGGTGATGAGTTGGTGTTCATCGAATGAATACAGCCTCAAGCATTCGTAATCATCGAGAACAAAGTCCTTAGTGTTACATAAATATTTTACCCTATTGGATCAGTAAATGTTTTGTTAATTGGCTGATCCACATTTCTATTCAAAGAGCATCTTCAGATAAATGAAGCTTTTAAATAACACCCACAGGAAACTCTTGGCAGACAAACTGTGCTTTTTGCCATAGGTTCTCAAAGTATTGCAGAGAAATATTAAAAAGTAAACCTTTAGAAAAGAAGATTAGACCTGATTACAAAAACCCGCAACTCATCTTTTCCCTCAGGATTGACTGACTTAAACAAAGGAATGTGATTTGGTTTTGCCCTCTACTGTACCAGGACTATAGCTACTTAACTTCTATCATCCTAAAGCCTGAAGCTTGATAACTTTTCTCAACTCACTCCTATCACGAAAGAGTAGATCTGTTTTCCAATATTCCTTATTCCTGGCGCTTCTACATGGGGGCAGCTGGCTTGTTCCTTTCAGCTCTCAGGGGACCGGCATTCACGAGATGATGAGATGCATTCAGCGACGAGTAGATCATCTGACGGAACAGTGTTCGGCGCACAAGGAATTTGCTCTTAAGAAACAGCAATTAACGGCCTCAGTGGATGGCCACCTCAGGAAGGTAATTTCATAAAATGTGTCCTCCCTAAGTTACTATTGAGATGCAGCTTCTTGTTTGGTGATAATAGATAGTATGGCAACTGCAGCATGTTGGCATGGTGGGAGGACGGGGAGTGTCTCCTTAGGCTTCTCTTACGCTCCACATGAGGTTTTATAATTGAACAGAATAGAGTTGTAATTTACTATTGATCATCAGCCATCCCTGCCTCCTGTTGCCAAAACTAGATATGCAATCCTACCAACCACCCCAGCCCTGAACACCTGTACACCAAGGCAGTCCTTGCTTTCCACAGAATTGTGTTAACTGAACCATGTGCATATTGGGATTGTGTCCTTGAGTTACATGGTTCTATGCATGGTTCCAATATGCACAAGTTTCAGCTCACGTGGTACCATACAACATGAGGACTGCAGATAGATAGATACCCAAAATGATAAGTTTTGGGAGGTCCAGGAATAAATTGCCATTATCATACTTTATCGAACCAGGTTGGCGCAAATGACACGATCATGGTCATTCTGAATAGAAGCAGACTCATGAGAATTCTCTCTGCAGAGTGAGGATAACAGCTTGGTATGGGAGAATTTTATTTCCCATTTTCAAAGAGGAATAAAACCAGGAAGCTACTATTTGACTAAATAAAAAATTACCTATCTAAAGGTGGGATATAGCAAAAACTAGTGATATCTCAATGACATTAATGCTAACGAACCTTGCCGCATAAGTTAGGTCTGAAATTTCAATGATGTTTTCATTTGATACAATGGACTTAGATGCCTGACTTAGACAAGGAGAACTGGCAGATTTCACAGGACAGGACATTAAATAACCATGTCTCTAGCTAAATTGCCTCCCCACCTGTTATTGATCCAGAACCCTGGGAATCTGAGCCTTGGTCTGATGCCTGGGTCCAGGGAGATTCCAAATATGGTGGCAGCTGTGGTGACGCATTCCCCAGAGCTTGAGACTCAAGCTAATTTGGTGATGGTGGAAAACACAGTAGGAACTCAAACAACTGTTGCTACTTATCTTACTGCCAATTTGACTGTGGGAAGTATGGACTCTAGTTAGAGCCAGGGGATGAAGGAAGTAACTTGGATGGCATAGAATCCTTTAAAGGTCACTTTATTCTTTGAGTCATGTGTACTGAAGATCAAATCATAGTCCCCTACATTCACCAACTAAATGGCCTAAGCGAGTCCCTGTGTTTTATCATCACATGGACAGGGTTTGGTGCTGCCCTAGGATTCCTCACCCCTAAATACAGCAGTCCCTAGGTGATCTAATACCCAAGGCTTGGACCTCTGCTTCGTGATGTGCCTATAAATTGGGCCCCATTCAACTTACAGTGGATGATTGTGAATTAATCAGATAAATTCATCTCTATTGATGTGTTATCAAGTGCATTATTATTTCTAGGTAACGTAGATAATAAAATTCGTAGAAGACATGGATGATTGCTTCTATCTCACTGCTGTTAATAAAATTTATGTCTGTTAATAAATATGTATTTTTAAGCACTTACCTTCAGTGGGTGGGTCAGCAGTATTGCCTCCTATGAAGAGCAGCGTTATTAATTTACATATAAATTATTAATTTACATTTATTATTAACTTACATATAAAATCTGAAATACTTAAAACTATTTTTAGATTAAAATTGATATATCTATTTAAAGTAAAATGGGAATATAGAGAGTAATATTTATTTTCTCTACACATACGCATGCATATATGCAAATACATATTACTAAGATTGTAATATGTTCTTTATTCCTAAAGGTGGAAATGTCAATTCAGAAAATCAGTCCAATACTTTCCAATGCAATGGATGTTGGTTTCAGCCTTTCTGAATTACAGAAGATTTTGAATAAATATTTGGAACTAGATATGCAAGCTAAGGTAGATAAAATAAGAATTATTATTACAGTTAGGATTTGGTAAATATGGTTTATTGTCTTTATACTAAATAGCTATAAAACTGAATCCTGGTTCTCTTGAAGGTTGCGATTTTAAATTAGTATTGTGGCAAATAGTGACTTAACAAGGCCTACTAGTATGTGCATCTAAATTATTTATATGTACATGTGCATTTATTAGGGCGTTTGAGCTCACTGAAACTCAGCATTATAGCCTGGTATTAAACACTCCCTTGGCCCCTTTTCCTTGCCTGGGTGATGTTGGCAACCCCCTTTGAGGATGCCAGAGGAGGGAGGGAGAGTGCTTCTCTGAGACTCTTTGTGATTTTCTGCTAGAGGAAGTTACAAAAGGAAATTACCAGAAGAAGCATGCCTTAAAGCAAGATTCCAGGAGGCAAATAAAAACACCATCTTGCTGGCACACCCAGTGTCCAGGGACAGAAAATGCCCCTCATCTCCCTGGCACCTTCTCTGGCTCCCTTTCACATGAGACTTATGTTCAACTATTCCTGCTAGCAGCTCCAACCCCGCCCTGAGCCCCAGGCTGTCCCAGGAAGTGTTGCGGAAAGTGAGCCAGGCCCTCTCCTGGAGCCCAGGTGGGCGGTAACCGGCCCTGCTGCCCCTGGGTTCTCAGCCCATAAGGGCCTCCTTCACAAACAGCGCCCTCACCCAAAACTCACAGACAAACCAATTTTTTTAAATGGGATGTTTCTAATTAATTATTTAAAATGTTTAAAATAAACCATATGTCTGAATTCAATTTTTTTCCTTATTTAAAAAATTTTAGAAGGAAGAAACTCCCCTGCTTCCTGCTTCCCAGAGTGCTGTCTGGAAGCAGCGCTTGTAAATTGAAACTGCCTTCACTCAATGGAGTCCTTGGGAAGCATGTTAAACACAAGCAGGGAAGCAATCCCTTCTTGCTGCAGATGAGAGTGAAGCTTTTTTTTTTTCATTTTTGCTTGATTCCTAGCTTGGTCTCACATGAAATTTTACACGGCTCTTTCTGTGGCAACTGTCTATGTGATGCCTACAGCACCTGCTCTTCCATGTAGTCAGTAGTTCGATTGCATGTGCCAGAAATTGCACTTAAAAGAAAACACAGGAGAGCAACCCTAAGCAAGTCACATTCCCTGACTCTTTAGGCTGTTTAAACTTCATATGGAGTGTTTCCCCTACACCTGTTTTAAAATCCTTCTAGAGAGATTTAAATGACTGCATAATTGATATGTTATTTTTTATAAGTTAAAAAATGAGTAAACGACTTCTATAAATTTGCCATCTCTTATATAACAAAATTAGTTTAAGAATTTGCTAGAGCTATTGTTAAGTTTCATAAAGCAATTCTCGTGTATAATTATTTTATTCAAACTAAGTAAAATTTCTGCCAGTTTGTTTTACAACCTTTCATACCAAACAAGCTTTCTTCTATTTGTGATGCAGAAAAGAGAAGGCTCTACATAAGAGGTGTGGCTGATAGAGAGAAAGAATAATTTGAGACGGTTTTCATTTTAAGATGACTTTTTTTAAAATTTTGAAAGTTGTGCCTTTCTTTTTTGAGGAGAGCCTTGGTTTGAGTTCAATTAATAATCGTAATAGATGGATGTACAGAAGGTAATGAAATGTGAATGTTCATGATTCCACTGTTGGCTTCTGACCTCCTGTGCTTTGCTTTCATAGGAGACATCACATGAATTAGAAGCAGCTGCAAAACTTATGACAAAGAAGAAGGAATTTGAACCTGATGAAGCAGCATCTCTTTCTTCTAAAGTGAAATGGCTAGAGGAAGAATTAAACATACTCGGTGAAAGGATCGGCTCCAGGTCACAACTCCTGCAAACTTATGTGACATTTCTAAAGTCATCAGAGGAGGTACGGTACCTATAAGCTGACCTTCTTTGGCAAGGTGGCCTCTGCCCATCTTCCAGCTTCCTATGGGGATAGAAGCCCTCTTGGGTAATCCATGTCCTTCACCCCCGCACATGTACTCACTTATAGGCCCTTTATTCTCCAAAGCAATGCACACGGACTCAAAAAGTAACTTCTTTTACTAAAAAAAATTACAAATTGTCTGTATAGATATATACACAAATAAGCAAAGTAGTCATGTTGGAGTACTTTTTACTACAGCCTACAAATATTTACAATATCCTAAACATAGATGAAAATGATTTAAAAATAAGTTATTTTCTATTTTAAAATGTCACGAATCTCTTTGAACACCTAAGTAATTAGTGTGATTCATTTAAAATACACAGAAGTGGAAATTACTGGCTGTTGGGTCCAGTCTCAGATTTGTCTTGTTTGAAGACTTCTAACAAATTTCCTCTGAAAGCTTCTTCTGAGGCATTGTTTTGACTGGTTTGTACTAGATAATTCATAAAATTCCCTCTAGTAGGCTAGGATTTCATCTCTCAGAGGTCCCAGCTTCTTAAAGATGACGTCAGTAATAGAAAAGTGCTAGGATTCCACCTCATGTAACTCTGGTCCCAGTGCACCTCGGTGCATGCAGGTCACTCTCCTTTCAGGGACGGGGCCCTGATTTAGTGGGAGGTGGAGCCAGCAGGGTCCACTCAAGGGTGAAGCCAGCCAAAGTTAGGTAGCACACTCGTATTCCATCTTCTCATCCCACCTTCCCAACTCTCTCACGATTACCTCCCACCACCACCGTCCTGCCTACACACATTTCCTCTGTTAGCTCTCCTTGTACAATATTCTGAATTCTCACCACTCTAGAGGAAGGCCATGCCCAGACCCTGGAGTCTCAGGAAACCATTGCCTCCTTTTCCACATCTTTACTCCATGTTTTGTAACTTCTGGCTTTTTTTCAGTTATCCGTAGCCCTGAACTCTCATGGTTCAGCAGAGGTATTACAACTGATGGGATTATCCTGTTGATGAACATTTTTATTAAGAACTTGAAATGGTGGAGAAGGTACAAAGAAGTGCTTGTTTTCTGTGTCTTCATTGCCAAAAATGTACCTTCTTGGCTTCTAGTTCAGCATCTCCTTCCACGGCTCACTCTGGCCTCTGGGACCAAGAGCCTCTCTAGGGCTGGAAGCTTAGCTTTGCAAACAACTTTCTCAGAAGGACCTCATGTCCTTCCAATCTTCCCAGCTTTCACTAAATCTATTTCCTGCCTGGCAGAGCCTCCTGTCCTTCTAATCTTGGCAGTGGTCTCAATCTGTCACTCTCCTACTCTCTCAGGCTTTCCTTCTTTCCTCACCTGCTCATGGTTACACATTTCCATTCCACTCTCCATGCCCTCAACTCTCTGCCTTCCAACCTGACTAACCCTGCCAATTCCCAATACTAGATCCATCCAAGACTGTTTACTCATCTTCTCTTTCCAAGCTTCCAGATGCTTCTGCAGAAAATCATACAATTGTGCTGATTGGCGCTCTTACGAATGTATCAGTCTCTGCTTCAGCTGGGTCCACCATATGCTCCCTAGTTGGTGCCCAAACATCTTACCCCAGTTTCCAAGCCTAAATCTTAGCTTATAACCTTACCTCATACGTGACTGAAAAACACAAGGCCATTGAGCCTAACTGCCTTGACTTCCTTCGACTTTCAAACCTAATAACGTGTTCACTCATCTTCCACTGTTGCCAATAAAGTCCCCACTCGTGTCCAGCATTAATCTGTAATCAGGACGCTCCTTCTTCATGCAGAATCTAGCACCAGCAACCATCCTCTAATACTTCAGATTTGCTTTTTTCCATCACTTCCTTCCTTTTGGTCTACAGTTATGTCCAAATGGTCTTGCCCTCACCGAGGCTACCACTCTATAATTTTCCTTCCCTTCACCTCTGGACTCTTGGAGTGGGAAGATGACATTTCTTGCCTCTACTTGGTCATCCTCTCCTGTCCTCATCCCACTGCTGTTTAGTTTATTCCCCTTTCAATCCTGCCATTTGTCACTAGCTCACTCCACTGAAAATGTTCTCGTAAGCTACTTACTAGTTAACAAATGAAATGGTGTATTTTCAGTCTTCATCCTGGTTAATCTCTCTGTCACATTTAACCTGGTTACTCTCATCTCCTGTGACTTTTTTTTTTCTGGGAGTGATTCATCCTGAGCTAACATCTGTTGCCAGTCTTCCTCTCTCTTTTTTCTTTCCTTCCCCAAACCCCAGTACATAGTTACATATTCTAGTTGTAAATCCTTCTAGTTCTTCTATGTGAGCCACTGCCACAGCATGGCTACTGACAGACGAGTGGTGTGGTTCTGCGCCTGGGAACTGAACCCAGGCCACTGAAGCAGGGCGTGCTGAACTTTAACCACTAGGCCATCAGGGCTTCCTCTCCTTTGATTTTTTTTAGAGAACATATTTACCAAGGTATAATTTACATAATTTTATGCTATGTACCTACTTTAGAGTGGAGTAATTTTTAGTATATTTATAGGGTTGTGTAAGCATCACTGTACCCCAGTTTTAATATATTTCCATCACTCCAAAAAGAGCCTTGGTGCACACTTTTAGTCAATCCTGGTTTCCACCTCCAGCCTTGAGCAAGCACTGATTTGCTCTCTGTCTCGACAGATGTACCGTATTTGAATATTTCACGTAAATGGAATCATCCTGTCTACTTCTTTATCTGTTCCTTCTCCTTTTTCCTAAGTCAGTTCTCTGTTCCTGAAGTATGATGTGTCACAGAGTACCTGCATATGCACATTCTCTCTTTTGCACATTCTACACACTTTCCCTACAAAACATCACATCCCCATCTATGGTTTCAATTCACTAATAATTCAAAAGTGGTTCCTCAGCCCAAACTCTCCAGACCAATGCCTTCAACTTCCAATCATTCTAATTACCTATGTATCCTGTAGGTTCCTAAAACTGAACAAAACACAACTGGTTATCTTTTCCTCAAAGATGCTTTTCCTTCTGTATTTTGGCATTGGATTAATGACCCCACCATCTGTCAGAAGTCCTAGGTAGAAGCTTCAGTCTTTTTCAAGCTTTCTCTTAACAATTACTTGTTTCATGCAGGCTCTGTGCTTTTCACTCCTGATTTCATTTAATCCTTACAACACCTCTATATTCAGTTACTATTACCCACATTTTACAAATAAGTTAAATTGAGGCTCTGAGAAGTTAGAGATATAAGATCAAACAACTAATAAACTTCAAAGCTGAAGTTTAATCCCCAATCTCCTCCCTTTCATTTTTCCCTATTCCAAAGGCCATGCTATCTCGTGTCTGTCTATAGAGATGACCTAAAAGACTTAATTCCCCTTCCTCTTTTTGCACCTTCATTTCTTTGGCTCAAGCCCTTATTATCTCTTGCCAAGCTTAAAGAAGTTGTCTTCTGCCTATTCTCTCTGCCTCTTGTAACTCTCCCCTTCATTCCTCCTTTTAAAAATTGGTCATTCTAAAGCAAATCTAATCATGTTACCTCCTGAAATTCACGTAATTTGACAAATGTAACTTGTGAAGTATGTTGCAAATAACTTTTACCAAAACTGGATAAAGTATTAAAGTTTATCATTCATTCACTTAAAAAACAAACTAGTACAGATTCAAGGGAATTCTGCATTCAAGGAGTGTTTTTTGAACAGTTAGAAAAAGATGATGAATTAAAGTTTACATTTTGAGAATTGCACATAACTGACAGGCCAGCAAGTTGACACCCCAGCCTGTAGTGCACAATCCTGTTAAAGTACTGATGGTTGTCATGCCGATTCTGAGTCATCCTGTAGCCATCAGTTGTTTCAAACTAATGAGAATGTGTCACATCATGTTGGTTACAGTAGAAAACAAGCCGAAACCTACTGGCCAGTTTTATCCCAGCACAATTATCCCTCTAGCCTCTTTCTCACCACTCATCTTGTGCAACAAGAACTTCACCCACACTAAGATCATTGATCATACTCTGAACCAGCCAGTGTTTTCAAACTCGTGCCTTCACATGTTAGTGCTTCCATTTGGGATCCCCTTCTCCTACTTTCTCTGACCCTGGACAATTCTAAAAGATACAGATCAAATGCCACTTCCTGTGGGAAGGCCTTCCCTATTTACTCTATGTAGAGTCGATGGTCCCTCCTCAGTGTGCCCACAACATTGTGTGTATACTTGTCTTTTGTTGTAATAATCTGCTTATGGTTCTCTTTCTCCCAGAACTATGATTAAGAACCCAAGGAAATAAATGTTTAATTTTTACTGAGTTAATTTAACTAACTCGTGAAGGATAAGCAGCAACAGAAAATTGAGGAAAGATCATTCTGGGCTGAGAAAACAAGCATCAGCAAAACAGAGGCATGAATAAATGAAATAAGGGCAATGAGGAGAAAACTCTGTTTCTTAGTGTCATTTGTAGGCTCTCCTATTAAGTTCATTTAATTAAGAATGATGTTAAAATCTGTAAAATATAGTGACTAACCATTTCCTGAAGTTTCCCACCCTATTTAGATTGCTTTTGGTAGTTGTGAGCTCTTTGAGTTTTGTGCTATTGTCCATTAAGCATTATTCAAATGCATAAATGCAAATAACTTGCGTCAAAAATTGTCTACTATTTCCACATCACCTAATTACATGTTACTCTGTAGTTCCACAGGCACATTTGCTTTTATGTAAGATCTCTTCAAAGAGAGTGATTTAAAATAATCTAGTACTGCTTACTTCGGTTAGCAAATGAGAAAACACAATTCTAGGGAGGCGAAGTAAGATAGCTCAATAAGATTAACTCATGGAAGCAGTTTAATATGAATACTTGTACAGAAAATTAGCAATTGTTTGTACTCTTTTGTTCTGGTTTATCACTGATAAGTAGCAAATTGTGATCTACTAATTATTTTTTCACTGACTTACATTTCTTTCTGATTTGTATTCCTTGATTGCATATAAACATATAGATGTCTTTCTTCTGAATTATAAAACTCAGCTTTAAATGGAACTACACCGGTGTTTGATATAAATTGTCCCCAGTTGCAAAACATACACATATATAATACATAAATATGATTTTGGCTACGGTAAGTAGGTCTTATGGGTAATAAACTTGTCAGTTCAATTTAGTACCCAGTGGAGGTCCTGTCTGTCAACATCCTAAATAGATTTTCATGTCTTTTCAGGAAATTGACTGTATTCGATAATTATTTAAAGAATTTGAAAATGCAGTTTCCATTTAATTTTTACACAGGTTTTGATTGGAATCCAGTGTTATTTTCTTTAAACATGTTTCTAAGCCTTCTTAACGTTCATTTATATTCTCCTTTTTGTAGGTAGACGAGCAGTGTCAGAGCCTTAAGGAGTTTTACCAAACTGGAAACCTGCAGAAGGAAGAGGATGATGCTAAAGCTAAGCATTGGTCTGACTCAGCTGAGAAGCAGTGGCAGCTATTTGTAAAGAGGAGTTTTTTAACTCAAGACCTAGGGCTTGAGTTCCTTAATTTAATAAATATGGTGAGAATGACATTAAATGAGTCACCCCTTCTGCATGGATGACTTGTCAAAGTCAAAATCATAAATTCAAAAGCTCAACTGTCTATTAATCAGCAATGTTGGCTTAGAAAGTTCTTTTTAGCTTCACTCAACCTAGAATGGTCCTGAAGTCTAGCGTTTATGTGCTTATTTGGTTCTAGACCTCTTGTTAGTTTACAACATGAAGGCTATGTTAATTACTAACAAGAAAAAGTGTCTATATTCCAAACGCAACATTGTTTTTATTACATAGAATCCTCAGTAGAAGTTCAACCAAAAGTTCTGAGTTATGTTGAGAGTGTGCATCAAGATCTTTACAAAATTTCCGGCAGCTTAAGGCAATGTCTAGGATGAATCTTCATTTTAAAGAATTTCTTACTATGCAGATCTTTTTATACTGAAGCTCCATTGTATTTAGAAATGTACCCTAAAGTTAAGCTGTCGATTTATATCTGTTAAATGTTCTAGAATCCTTATATCAACCTCTGACGCATATAAAGTTCTTTACAGAATTCTTAAAAGAGGGCTAATCCATCCCTCTTTCAATACCTCAAGTATCTTCCTAATGAGACTTCTCAATTCATTGTTAGAAAACTCTAGCTGCTAGGAAATATTTTTTTTCAATGTTAAGTCAAATTGGTATTCATATCTTGTTCTAACCCTGTGTTGCTACACTGGGGAATAAAGTAGTATTTTTACTTCATTCCTCTTACAAATGAAAGTCCTTCAAACTTAGAAAATAGTTGCTATGTCTAATCGAGTCTTTTCTGCAGCTAAACACATAGAAATATTTTCTATCATTTATGAGATAACTTCATTTCTTTCTCCATCCTGATCCCTCCTCCCAGAATTTTCTATGGTTTCTCAGAATCAATCATAAAATGTAACCGAAAAGTGAAGTATCACTTCAAAACAAAGTACAACAAAGTTGACATCATTCTTTACTAGTGAGATCTAAGATTAGGTTAACATTTTTAGTAAGAATTTCACTTTGCTGGTTCATATTAAGCTGGTGATGGAATAAAACTCCCATCACATTTTTATGGCAATTCCTTCCAAGCTAGGTCTCTCTCATCTTATGTCTGTGTCAGCTTTTTATCTTTTCCATACAAATGTGGGCCTTTATATTTATTTCTGTTTAATGTCATTTGTTAGTCTTCACTCGTGATTCCATCTTGTTAAATTAATTTTGAACCTGCTACCTACTACATTAGCCATCTCTCCCGGGTTTAGTTCTATACATTGATAAGTAAGCCTCTTATGGCTGCAATTAGATCTTTTATAAAAGTGGCTGATGGGCAGGTTGACATACCAACCCATTAAGCCATCAGTTGGTTAACCAGTTTTTTAAACATTCATGGATGCTCCCAGTAGTATTTTACTTCAACCAATATTTCACAACCTTTTTCTTAAGTCTATCATGGGAGACACTGCTCAAAATAAGGTCTACCCTCCTAGTATCCTATCAATTACATAAATAGAATTTGGCATAAATCAGGTTGACTCCTAGCGATCAAGGCATTCTTTCCAAAGTGCTCACAAGCTGCTTAATCAACAATGAATTTATCATACTGGTTTTCAATGTAAAGCTTACCAGTCTGTAAATTATGTAGCCATCCTTTTCCCCCTTTTGAAAATAAGGGCATTTTCCTTTCTCTAATTTTCTGGCCATTTTCCTATTGTCTGTAGATTTGCAAAGATAACTGACATCTGCAGTTTTCCCAGTTCTCTGAGATGTGATTAATCCCAGTCTGGAGCCTGAATTCCTTTAGAAGAGTTAGATTCTGCCTAATGATCCTCATCTACTTTGAACTACAATTTTCTCTTTGTCTTCTTTGTTTCAGTCTTTACTGTTTGAAGGCCATTCTTGCTAAATCAATGTGGAAACAAATAATAGTCTTAAGCAGCAGAGAAAACGTGCTAAGCAGTTTGCCCATGTTCTTAAGTTATAGAGGTGATTTATTGTAAAAAATAATTTTCTACTTGGAACATTTAGAACATATGCTATCTATCTCTCTTTCTATCTTTTACATTTTTACTTTGTTCAGTGTATCTTTTTCCACTCTTGATGAGGGTACTTCTCTAATTTACACTCATAGGGCATTCAAATATTCGCAAACTGTGTTTTTTGGCCTATCTTTTTTATTAGTAATTTCATTGCAGAAATTTTATTTTTCGGTTCTGAAATTTCCAGTTGCTGCTTTTTTATTAGATTTATATTGCTGAAGAAATTCTCTTTCTTGTCCTCCTTCTCCATCTTTCCTATACTTTCTTGACCATTTTAATTATGGGTATTTTTTAAAGTGTAAGCTAATTCCAACATCTGGATCTGGAATTGTTTTTATTGCATATTTTTCTCTTGGTTTCCAGTCATGTAGGCCTGTCTTGGCAGGACTAGTGAATATTTATCAAATGTCAGGCATTTTGCATAAAAAATTGTAGGAGTTCCAGATAGTGTGATTTTCTTTCCCCAGGTGGATGTTGGTGGGATCACTTAAGCCAGTTAGGAGCTGGTGAAGTTGAATGTGGAGTGAGGTTCTGTCAAGGCTCAGTCTACTCTGATGATCTTGGGCTCTCAAAGTTTTCAGCTTAGAGCTTGGTGCATTCTTTGAGATCTCGCCAGCAGCAGGTCCCCAACACCAATCTTTGTCTTGGAAAACTGCTGAAAACCTCCACTCTGCTTTTCAGAGGCTTGTGCTTAGTTTTTTTTAATCCACTGCCCTGTACAGCTCCCATATTTTGTTAATGTCCTTAGAAGAAGATCAGCTATGTGCTCGATACCCCCGCCCCCCAAGTGTCTGCCAAAAGCTCTGTTGGTTTCTCTGTTCCCCAGCAAAGCCTCAATGACCAGCCTCCCGTCAGTGCACAGAGTTGGGAAGTGCCCCTGGCTGGGGCAAAAGTGGTGACAGGTGAGCTCAGGTTCTTCCTTCTCTGGAGTCTCAGCCTCTTTACTTCTTATTCTCACAGCAGCCCTCTGCTGCCTTCGAATAGATGCTTTCTGCATTTTATCCAGCTTTTCTAATCGCTGTAAGTGGAAGCACTGTTCTGCCACTGGCTATTCCATCTTACCCGGAAACAGAAGTCCTTTATTACTTATTTAGAAGGTTGAAGACTGTACAGTCAGATTTTCATTTAAGATCTACAGAAGGAACCCATTCCAACTCATGTTTTGTATCTATGTCTAAATAAACTTATGTTATCATAATATTCACATGCCTGTTTTAAGTTCTCAGAAATAGTGTGTGTTTTACTACACACCTTGGTAGTCTTTTATCTTGGTATTAGAAACATTGTCACTTTACTCCAAGGTCCTCACCACTGTCATATGGTAAATAAATTCCTTCTTATTGGTAAGAATTAAGGTCCACATAATGGTCAAGTTTATTGGTTCAATGACATTGGGAGATATGAAATTGTTGGTAAAGCAAGTAAAACACAATTTTTATTCTCTTTCTACTTTTTGGACCATTAAGCTTTTAAACAAACATTATTGTTGAAACATGGTAACCAGTTTGGTTGTTAAAAAAGAAGGAGGCCAGCTGGCATTTTCCGTTAAGTGTTCTACTCTTGATTGGGTTGCTGTGGTTCATATTTTCAAGTTTGAAATTGAAAATTTTTCAGTTCATCTAAATATCATCTCGATCAAAGAAACCAATTTATGCCAGAAATCTGGCAGACATCTTGACGAAACTGCCAATTTACTGATTTATAGTGGTGAATACTAAGAATGCTCTCCAGGATACTGCCTTCCTGTTATCAAAGTATCTGGAAAGCAAGACATCAGAAGACCATTCACTATGTGTGAATCTAAATGGAAAATGGATAATTTAGTGCCCGAATTAGACAAGATTATGGCAAATTTTTCCATGCCCTTACACAGAAGTAGAATGAATAGTGTGTTTACTAACCAAACCTCAAGCAAATTATTCAGTCTTCCTGAGTGGCCAAAATACTTAAGTTGCCAAATATGTAATCACTCTGCTTGGATCCTGCTAGCTAGATATCAAACAATCTTCCTACGCTTCTCCCTTTCCTAGACACGACTCAGACCAATTTTGATTAGAGTTGTAATTTACATGTTGCAATTTTCAAGTTTACATTAGATTATATCCTATATTACATTTTGATTAATAGTTTCTTAATAATACATGAATGATACCCTAGCTTTATTAATAGATAAAAAATGTATTTGTGGGTCTTGCTATAGTTGTCTAATATCTTTTATAGTATGTAGCATCTTATTAATCATAATTACAGAACACATCATTTTATTACTAGATCCCCAAATTCGTGGGGGAAATCTCATTTACCACTTGCAGTTATACTTTTTGCAACTAATTAACACTTTAGAATGTCCAAATTAATATAAAAATACAAATGTGCAATATTAATGTCATTTAAAATAATTTAAAAATAAGATGGCTTATTATTTAAATTATTTTGTTACATATTTAAGATACTATCTTCTGACTACAATCTAAAAGATTCCTTAGCTTTTAGATACCTAGCTGTCACTGCCCTTATAGAAATCCATGTGCAATTCCTCCTTAGAAATTCAAGGATTTATTGAGAAAGGCTGGCCATCAAAGTAAAAACCACTGTTTTGCCAAACAAATATTCTTCTGCATTTTTTGATGTTTGCACATAAAAAAGTACGTGGTCTTACTCTTTACCTCTCTTATCTTTCATCCTCCAATTGAATTTCCCCTTGTTTAAAACCATTCTTCAAAGGATTTCAAATCAGTCAGCCAGAACATATCGAAGTTGAGAAGAGGTCTTTGAATTTAGATATTGTGCTTCTGGTGCACACAGAGGTACAAATATAGAGATATATAAGCCGCAAAATTCAGTTCTCACAAAAGGGAGTAACTTGAGGAACTGCTCACTAGGGAAGTTTAAAATAATTGTAAGATATACAATGGGATAGTTTCAGGAGAAAAACTGGCCCAAAACAAGCTACCCCCTCATATTCCACGATATTGAGATTTTGACATATTCTAACGAGTATGTTAAAATAAAAAGTGCAATACACTTCGAAACTTATGCATTAAAACAATCTTGACTTCACCACTTCTAGATCCCAGCGCTTAATCATGCCTCAAGCCCAGGAAATAACCAGACACTAGCAGGGGACTCAAACACCACTGGGGTCTTGAAGAATCCAGGACCAGCTTCCAAGCATAGAATATGGGCTCTGAGAGCCTCTCACAGCCTTTTCAGCCTTGTCTTGGTATCAGAACTGAGCTGTGCTTTGGCCGTGATCAATAGTTTGCCTCCTAGAATCATTTTATGCAAAACTATTGTACTTCTTGGGAAAGAAAAGCCATAATATGGATTATTAATTTAACAGGCAAAAGAGAATGAAATATTAAATGTGAAAAGTGAGGTGCACATTATAGAGAACACTATGGAAAGACAGAAGGCAGAAAGGGAAGAACTCGGCCGCCTTCGGATGGTATGGCAACTTAAAGCCACTGCAAGCAAGCCTGTGAAACAGCAGTGGGGAGCATTCAAAGAGCAACTTACAAAGGTGAGAGGGCATGCGCCGGATGTTATTCAGCCTTAACAAGGAATGAAATCCAGACAGATGCTACAACACGGAGAAAACCTGAAAACATTGTTCTGAGTGAAAGGACCCAGACACAAAAAGATCAATACTATATGATTCCACTTATATGAGATGCCTAGAGTAATGAAATTCACAGACAGAAAAAACAGAGTAGAGATTACCAGGGCCTGCGGGGAGGGAGAATGAGGAGTTAGTGTTTAATGGGCACAGAGTTTCTGTTTGGGAGGATGAAAAAGTTCTGGAGGTGGATGGTGGTAATGGTTGCACACCAGTGTGAATGTACTAATGCCATTGAACTGCACACTTAAAATGGTAAATTTTGACATGTATATTTTACCACAATAAAAGCGAAAAAGGTAAAGGAAACCCAGGTCCCGTGCTTTTGTTCATTCATGGTTTAGAACCACAAGATCACTCGAGGTGGTGAGTGTTTTCATGGAGATTGAAAAGTTTGATGACACATCACATCATCACTGGAATGATCATATCGTATTTGCTGGCGATGTCACGGAATACATATGCATAACTATCCAATGTTTATTTCAGACTACTCACAGCTTAAAACTTCTTCAGGAAGCACTTATGCCTGTGTCTGCGCTTGACCTTGGAGGGAACCTTGAGACCATTTTAGGTCTACGGAAAAAATGGAATGAAATGAAGCCTCAATTCCAGGTGAAGAAATAGATTGATGGACTTGGGTGAATGGAAGAAAAATTTAAAATCTATTTGGTTGTGGTTTACCTAATTAATTTTCACAGACTGGTGAATTACTAATTTTTCTAAACAAAAGCATTGCTTGTCTAAAAATTCACTTTAAAAACATTTTTCTTACTGTTTTTCTTCAGTGTTCTATATTTGGTGACACATGAACATTCAGGCTAAAAAATATCTTTAACATATTCTTATCTTAGATTATCTTAATTTGCATTAAATTAGTTCCTTATTAATATATTTATCATGTCTTCACTCTAAGTATTTTCTTAAGGGGTATAGATGTGTTTTAGATGGAAACATCTCAAAGTAAGGATGGGCAACTTCTGACACAGAGAGTCTAGCCTCCGTCTGTGAAATCACCACTGTGATGTCACTGTCCCCAACCACTGGCACCCCAGACCCCTACCACCCTCCCAGGAATTTTGCTGTGCTCTCTCATTCTCCCTCTCAGGGAGCCCTCAGGATATCAGAGATAAAACCAAGTCATATTCCCAGCCCCTGACTGCTAAATGCATTTCATATCCCGCACCTCCTGCCACCCCTACACCTAACACGACTCCCAAAAATAGTAGCCAGTCGCTTTATCCTCCTGCCTGGATTCTTGTTCTTTGTTGCAAAGATAAGATACCTGCATTTCTGTTTGCCACTACTTCGTTAGTGTTGGCTTTAGAGAATGCCAGAATCAGACGATTGAAGATTTAGGGAATATCTAATTTAGATTCCTTTAAGACAAAACTGATGTAATATATGACCACCCTACACACAAAAAACACACACACCATTGTAGCCCACAGTGAACTCTTTCCTCTAAACTCTTAGAAAATTCAGTTAGCCTACATGTGAGGTTCTTCGATATACCCTATATTATATGTTTATTTGCATTTCGTGTGCGCACACATGCATGTGCCCCTGCACATGTGCGAGTGTGTATGTGTGCGCGTAACTTCTCTAATTGAGGACCATTCCCAACCTTCTTTGGCTCTTTCCCTGTGACATGCATATATTTGATGCCCACAGGCTTGATTTCAGCTTGAAGAACCTTATTAAGCTATTCTTCTGAAGATTATTTTCTTAGCCTAAGTCATTTCCATTACTTTTATCTTTGATATAAAATCCACTTCTGAAATTATAGCGGCTTCCTCTTTGAGATGTCCACCCTTTGCAAGTTCTACCCCAGGATCTGAATTCCTATAAGGGATATCTGAGCAGTGCTGGGTAAAAGGAAGGCAGTTTACCCCTCCCTACATGTGACAGCTATTTGTGGATTCTGGGATGATTGATTTTAAAGCAGCATATCTACTGTGCTGCTCAGCTGGTGGTTCATTCTGATCATTCTTTTATCACAAAGGACAAGTAATTCCCCCAACATATTTCTACATTGTCTTCTCATGGTGTTCTTACCATACTACCTGATTCTAGTCCGTATTAAATATCAGAGATGACCATGGCTTCGTAAAATATCTAAAATACTTTTATTTAACAGATGACTAGAATACTTGGTGTGTCATAGAAATATATAACTTTCCATTTCACCACCTAGCTTTGAAACACTTTTTTTGCACTGCTCATAATTTTTTTAAAATTTCTGAGTAGAAAGGCATGGAATAATATATCCCTAGCATCAAGCACAAAGGCTGGAGTTGCAGGGGTGGAGGCTCACAATAAGTATATGTTAACAAATGACAGAATGATTCGTTATTTAGATCTTCACAGTCAGTTGTAAAGTAAAAAGCTCTCTAAAAGCTCATTCCTCTTACCACTTCTAACTTTTTAGCAACTGAGTGACGAGGTTCAATACATTATAAAAGAATCAGAAGAGTTAAGTGGCAAAGGAGCCCCTGTGAAAGAGAAGTCTCAACAGCTGAAGGACCTTATTCACCTCCATCAGAAACAGAAAGAGAGAATCCGAGATTACGAAGATATCCTGTACAAGACAGTCCGGTTCCACCAAGTAAAGGAAGAGGTCAGACTTGTCATGGATGTCTGGAAGGCCCTCCGTCTTAAACTATGAAACTAAATATTAATTATTATGTAATAAAGAAAGGCCAAATTGCTTATTCTGATACTAGAAGCTTTCCACAATCTGGCCCCTAACTTTTCTCTCACTATGCCCATCCTCCCTTATGTCCCAGCTCAACGGAGCTCTTCTTTGTCCCTCAAAGATGGCACACACATTCCTAACTCTGAGCCTCTGACTCCTCTCTGCTGTCTAAACCCTGACCCCGCTTCCAGCAATCCTGCCTACTTGGAGTGATTTCTCTCTTCTAAATTCCCAGAACTCTCATTGCTTATTCAACACAGCTGTTATTTTTAGCATCTTGATTCCTAATTACTTTTCGGTAAACATAGCTCTTTTCTCACCAACTTGAGTGTAAGCTCTTTGACGGAAGAAAACAAATTCAATTTTTCTGTATCTCAAGTATCTGACATCGTATAGGGCTCAGTAAATATTTATTTGTTATTGATGGCGGTGGTTGTTTTTACAAAAACTTCACAGTTATTAGTGTCTATTAACAGAAAATGGAGATGTATTGATACCCTTTTAAAATAGGCTCTGAATTTACTCAGACCTCACATTTAGATCTTGCTAAGGTTTTAGGCCATGACCAAAACAAGAGTACTTTCTTCTTTAATACAAATGATAATATTAGTCCCTCAATTTTACCTATTGATTTGCAGCATTGTAACACTTATTTAGGTATAACACTAATAATTGTCAATGGGCTTGGCAGCATTTTGACCAGCTAGTAACATATATTATAGGAAATAGGCTTTTAAAAAAATCTGTTTTCATAATAAAAATATGAAACATGCTAACTGTGAATGCCCAAAATTCCAGCTGGGACGTCTCATCAAATCAAAAGGACTGGAGTTTCTAGAACGGCCAACGGAAGTGGATGATGCTCATGATGCCCAGGTTTACCTCAGTCGCTCTCGGGAAAAGCAGGCCCATATAGACCATCTCCATAAATTGGCCCTTTCCCTGGGAGTGGAGATCATCTCATCAGTGCAGCGGCCTGTAAGCAACTGAGAACACCATCATTTATCCCTAATTGTAGCTGGGAAGTGGGCTAGCATAGGAAAGAAGCCAGGCAGATTGCTTAACATATGTTACATTAAAAAAAATATTAAATCATTGGGGTAGTTATTTATGGTGAGTTTCTACCACCTACAACAAAAGAGAAAAATATTAAGGAGAAAAAAATCTGACTATAAAAGTTGTTTAATACATCTATTCTCACGCTAATGAAAAATATAAAATTGTAGAGCCGTGTTGTCCAATATGGCAACTGGGTTTTCACTTTTAAAATGTGCTTAATGCAATTAAGGAACTAAACTTTTAATTTTATTTAACTCTAATTAATTTATATTTAAAACTGATCCTCACTATAGTTATTGGAAAGCTTTTAAGTATGTTGGGAATAATTTGGATAAATGAATCTGCTTTTAAAACTGTAAACTCTATGAAATTTAAATACAGATCAAATATTTCTGAGAGGAATTTAGCAAACAATTGAGATGTGCTCTAAGTGTGAAATATGCACCAGATTTCAAAGACTTAGTATGAGAAAAAACCTTATTAATATTTTTATATTTGGTTACATGTTAAAATGATATTTGGACATATTTGGTTCAATGAACTATATTATGAAATTAATTTTACCTGTTTCTTTTTACTTCTTAATATGACTACTAGAAAATTTAAAATTATTTATATGGCTCACGTTATGTTTCAATTGGGCAATGCTGTTTAGCATTCCAGATCTGGAGGGTATCCATCTGACAGACCATGGAGCCTAGGACTCTCATTTTATAGATGGAGAATCTGATCTCAGAGAAGCTGCTTTATGCATAAAAGCCAGAATGGAGCTCCACCCAGGGCTCCAGGCACCAGTCACTCCATCTCTTTATTCCACTGGGCTGACCTTAAGAAAGGAGCCTAAAAGAGAAGGAAATAATTCCAGATCAAATTTTCATAAATAGCACAGCGAGCTCTGATTTTTTTTCATATTTGATTTTATTTTTTTATTTTTTAATTGCAGTAACATTGGATTAACTGATTTTTTACAAAAATATTTTTCTCCAAATTCCTAATTTGAAGAAAGAAAAGATTATGTTAATTCTATCCAATATGTATAACTTAATAAAATCATATAGCCAATTTTATTTTAAAGATCATTTAAGATATCCACCAAACTTTACGGAAGGTAGCGAACCTAAAGTGGTTTTTTTTTTTAACTGAAAGAAAGAGAAATACAAAATATCTGTTGCTGTTAACAGAACTTTTACCAAGAAGGAGCTTGCTTTTTAAAGAGTTTTATTTTATTAGTTTAAAAAGAAAAAAAAGTAAGAGTCTCATTTCGCACGAATAATGTAAATTGTTCTCCAATCCAAGTCTGGCCTTGGTCTCAGCAGCCCTCCGCGCTGAGCCGAGATTGGAGCGCTTGCGTAAGGAACCCGAGGTGAAGCTCAAGCTGACGGGAAAATTACAGTGCAGAAGGCGAATATTTCTAATGCATATTTTATGCCTTTTTTGAAGTAAAAATTATACCTTATAATGAATGGTGTCTCCGAGGAGTTGGGTGTGATGAGCTAATCTTCAAAACCGAAGTTTCAAGACGGGAAATGTAGCAGCTTTTTGCCTTTCCCATCTTGTTGGGTGTCTGGCTTCTTTCTGAAATCATTATATTCATATGCTTTAGGTAAAAGAAATCAGGAGCCTTTTTTTTTTAAAAGTGTCCTTTGTGAATCTCCTAATGCAGGTAAATAGCATATTCGTCTCGCGGCTGTTTTGCCCGTTCCCTTCTCACTTCCGCTTCCCTTTGGTTTTTAGAACTGCTCTAATGTTTCCGCGAAGAACCTACAGCAGCAGCTGGACACCCTTGAGCGGGACAGTGTGAGCTGGCGGGCCGAGGCCGAGGAGTATGGCAGGACCCTGACCCGCAGCTTGGAGTACTGCACCACAAGGGACGAGATAAACGAGGTGAGGGTGCAAGGGTCACAACTGACACGTTGCCAAAAAACCCGCTAGGAACCTAAAGCGTGTACCTTAAAGGCCACACACGCGCACGCATGCGCACGCGCACGCGCACATAATACACACAATGAATCGGGAGACTTTTTTCACCCTTGACCTTTAATGCTCTAAGCAATGGCCTCAGAGCTCAGAAAGTTTGAGTAAACCTCAAGCTCCCAATTTTTTGAAGAGTCAGTATGTTGTCAATGCATAGAAAAACCTAAAATGCAGTATTCCAGTTTTTTGGTTTGCTTTCTGCCCGCCCCTCCCCCGCCCCCAAACCCTTATAGCAGCCATTTGCTCAAGAGGATACAGCTCATCAGGGCGGAAAGGGTGACACAGTCCCTTTGCGCCCGGCTCCAGGCTGCTGAGATTCTATTTAAGTACCACTGACTCATGCTGACGGAGGTGATGAGGGCCACCGGAGCAGGCTTTTTGCCTCAGAGGCTACAAAGTATTATCACCAAAGTCAAGTGGCTGGTTTCGTATTTACTCAAACGGAGTGGCTTTTCCGGCAAAACACGTCCTAGAGAGAAAGGAATAACAGATGCAAGTCCTCAGCCTCCATGCACCCCGGCCACACACAGACACACGCAATTCCACCTCCTCTCCCTCAATTCTACCCGAACCCCACCCCGACACGTCCTGCACCGCAACCATCCTGCCCTGGATAAACTTCCATTCAAAGGCTTGCTTGTTCTGGGGGGAAAACAAATATGCATAACAAGGGTCCTGATTCTTGACTGACAGCAGAACACAGCTGCCGTAATTCCAGATTTGTCTCCATTAAGAGCAAAAGGTTTCTGATTTTATTAGTCACAAGTCCATTAGGAAAGAGAGTGGAGGAAAAACGAAGGGGTAAACCTTCTCGAATGTTCTGTGTATGCTGTTTAGACAATCTAGGCCCAGTGAGTATCAAATATTATCAAATAATCTTAGAGCCCGAATTAAAGTGTAATGATGCTAAATTTGAATGGTGTTCTAGTTCTGAAGTGCCCCTTCCTGCAGGCCACACTCTGTAGACCACAGGCAAGTGCAGGAAGGGAGCGTGGCTGGAAGGAAAGTGAGAGGGGAGAGAGCAGGAGAGGCCACTTGCATCCTGTTCAGGAGGGAAACAGGAACTAACACCAGTAACGATTTTCAATTTCGCAGTGTGCCACAGGACTGCAGAGTCTCTGCTCAGAGTCTGTGTTCCAGGGAGTCACTTTGAGCTAGAGACTTGTTAATTCATTGGGGGTTGAATCCATGCTGTAGCCTGCCCTCTTGTAGTGGAATGGCCTCTCCCCGTTCCTGTACTGCAACTAACAGCACTTCAGTCAGGTCTTGTTGGGGAAAACAATCTTAAAGAGAGCATTATTCTCCCCAAGGCTATAAAATTAGAATTCACAGCCATGGACACAGTTTTTTTACTATCTTTCCCAAAGTTATCCTCTTTCTTCTTCTTCTTCCTCCCTTTTTTTGGGTAAACTTTGGTCTTGCCAAAAATCTCTCTCCCTGCTCTGATGTTCGGCGCTATGTTTACTGAAACCACAGTCAGGCAGGCTAAGGGTTCTTCCCAGCTCCCCATGGTTCAGTCTGCATCTCCCTGCAGAGCTGTGGCATTTACGGAGCTGGGTCTCTCTGTTCAGGCCCTTCCCACTGTGGTTCTATTTACAAGGCTACCTCGTGATGAGTGGTGCTGGGAGCCAGCCGGCTGGGACAACAGATATCCCTTCCAGTCATAGTAGGGACACCCCAGGATTGTCTGTACCGTAACAGGAATGAGCAAACAGATACGTGCGGGTCCGATTTAGGAATCAAATATCACTTTAAGGTGATCTTCAATATTAACAGAGCTATTCTTCCCTTTTGCTTCTACTTCAAATCCAAGTAATCTTCCATGTAAGTTACAGTTTCACATTTAAAGGATCTTTGAAAATCTTTGCTACTTTTCTCTTTCCTTTCTTGTAGAGATATAGTAGGCATGTCACAGTGTATCATACACACCCTGGACTTTCCAACACACGCCTGATGAGAAAATAATCAGAAAGAATGTCTTCAGTGCCCTTAGACAAGATCAGGCACATTCAGGGTGGTATGGCCATAGACTTAGTGCCCTTTAGTGAAATAAAGATGTGTGTTCTAGTTTGTATTGTGAATATCAGAGCACAAACAGATGGTCAGATTCCAAGTGGTAATAATGTTTGACACCCAGACATTATTATTATCATCACTATTAGTATTTGGTATAGGTACTTGAAACATTATGTAAAATAAAAGCAGCATGTTATACTATTTTCTTTTTTTTCCGTATAAATAACATAAAGTCAGATGCCCCACCAGGGAGCTAGACCAAGCATAGCATTAGATTGTCTAAGTTGATTTAAAAAAACGCATTGTTTTGCTTCCAATGTGCTTAAAGTGCTTCTTGGAAGTTCAGGGGCTCTGAGTTGAAATAGATTTTAGAGGATGTCTAGTTCAACGTCTTCATTTTTCACATGAGAAAACTGAGATCTGTACAGTTTTCATTTGAGCAATATGCTTCAGGACTGCTGCGTTTCTGCCCGTAGTGTTTCAGGGAGTCAGCGTCGGGCCAGAGGCTCGTTTATTTGGCACCAACCTTTGCTGGGCACCAACATTCTTGTCACTTGCTAAACTCATATTTCATTATTTACTTAATATTTTAGCCGATTCAACCGCTTCATGGTCTGAGGCTAAATATATCCTTTTTCTATTTCCTCTTCTATTCCTTATTTTCTAGCGTATCTGTTATAAACTCTATGATCTGATATAATAGCACAGTTCACTTGACTGTTTGAATCAAAATTACTTCCTTGGCAATGCCATAACTAACGTTCGTGGTTTTAACTGCACTAAAGGCCCTTAGAAAAGGACTCGGTGCCTTAAGGAAAAATAAAGTGAGGTTCTAAATGAGATTTTTTTTTTTAATGTGATGTGATACTTCCTTAAAGACGAGGAACCATGGTTTTTTGCCTTGATTATCTTTGGGTAAAATGTTATTATTTTCTAACTTCATACACTACATAAGACATAGGAAATTACAAAACCTCATTTTCTCCATTTCTACCTACGAGAAAACACAGTCTTCAGACTGCCAGATTTTGTTGAGGTTTTTTCCATCCATTTCACACAAAGATACATTTGTATGCATGAATGTTGAATTTCACTATATATTTTCTTGCCTGGCAATATAAATAAGTTGTTAATACACAGCATTATAGACATTTTCTGCCTTGTTACATGACAGAACATCATTAGTTACTCATTCTTTACACGTCTCTATTTAGAAATGTAATAAGTTCATATTGAGCATGTTTTCTGCTTTCAACCTCACCAAAAAAATTACCTTTACATTTACCTGATGTTGGTGGAAATTTGTAACTGAAATCTCATTATGGGTCACAAACAACTACTTTGCTGAAAAGAATAGTAATGACAGAATGGGGTTGATATCCATTTTCTCAAAATAAATTTTTCAAACAGAAGCTTTCGTATAATTATATTACTTCAGCCTGAAATTTTTACACTGTAGCAACATCTTGTCCATCAGGAAGGAAACAGAAGAAGACTTAGTGTATGTATATTCCGTATGTCAGAGTCTTGTGTTCCAGTCCCACATATTCTTTTGTCAATTTGTGTGTCCGTCATCTGAGTTCTAAGGATACGAAGATCAGAAGCAGTAAATTAGGATAGGCGAATGGTGCTGCTATAGACACATTTACAACTAATAAAATTAAACCTCCTAAGGTCATATAGCGCTTTGCTGTGGACAAAATGACCACGGACAGTCGCCCACAAGCAGGAAAGGAAGCAGAGAAAGAGTGTATAAATGGGCAAAACACCCAATGAGGGCAGCACTATGGGATAGTACGGATAATTATTATTTTCCAGATTGATAACCCTAATTCATCATTTTAAGAAAAAAATCTAAATTTTTTATCGTATTCAACAAATATCATTAATGAAGCTACTGTGTGCCAGGTCATAAGAACACAAAAGTCCTCAGGAAACTTGGAAGTCCAGGGCAAGTTAAATCCCATGGGAATTCACAGTCATAGCTGCCCATTATCAGGCTCCACCACGGTCCATTTTGATGGTATATGTAAGAGGTAGGAACGATTATAATTTATTCTGAAAACGTTCATCCCATAGAATTAAAATCTCTTAAAAGTTTAGCATTTAACATCTGCAACAGGACTCTTCTTTCTGAAGAATAGAGAGAGCTGAAGTTTAAAATCATAGTTATCACATCCAGAAAATAAAACCTAAATATATTCGGAGCACACAGAATTTTCAGAGTGGATAAAATACCTGTTACTGAGACATGCTGCCACCTACAATTTAAAATGGAGCAATTGTCACCTCTTTTAGAGCTGCCCCACTTTCTGCCGCTACAATTCTGGCCTTAAGTACAGGAAGATGGCGATGTGGTTGCCGAATGGAGGGAGGTCAAGAAAGTCTTGTGTTGGAGTCTCTCCAGCACTAAGGCTTAGTATTCTGCCATTAATAATTGTGGCAAATCATTTGGGTTAAATTATGAGTCTTTAGGTCCCATCATTTTAAATTCAGGCATCCTTGGGTGGTGATAACATTGCAACCTTCTGTTACTGGAAACGAGTATTAAAAAGCTTTTTTCTGCAGTGGACAAAGTAATGGTCAAGAAATGAAGCTCGTGAAGTGTATGTTAAGAGAAATAGACTACTTGTTTTGTATTTTTGCTTTTGGCCAAACATATCCCATAGTTCTAATGAAAGGCTTTTGTTTTAAACACATTTCCTCAGTTTTAAAATGTCCCATATCCCTCACGTAGATTGGCCTTGCCAGCAACAGACTCACAAGTAATTCATTCTTGTGCCAAGGTTGCCTCCACCAGCTTCGTCAAGACTAAGAATAGCAAGCCAGCCTCACTGTCAGCCTCTTTCCCTTCTGCTTCGTCTCAAAGAGGCTTTGCTCATTCCTAACCCTGCAAGAGGCTTACTGCTCCCTGGGAAATTTGGTGAAGATGCTCATTCTACTAGTTTCAAAAGAACTACAGTTTTAAAGTCTTAACAATTTTTTTCCTAAGTATAGCTATACTAACTTAGTCTACTTACTCCGTAGCAAATATGGAGGAGCCGAGCAAGTAGAAAGACAGGAAAATCACACTATTCCTTAGAAAAAAATATCTTTCTCTTCATTTGCTTAAGACTTTCAGAAATTTTATTAATATGAATTATGACATTTAAAGGTTTCTAATAGGGTAAAACTTATCTTGCCCCAAGCTATGGGTGGCTTTTTTTTTTTTTTTTGCTTATGTGCCCCAGTTGAGCAGTTGTCCTAGCCATCTCCACCATTCTCCATTGTTGACAAGCTAACTAAAGTTAGAAACAGCTGCATGAACAATGATACCACAGCCAAGCCACCATGACACTCAGTTCCTTTAAAAACATGATCACAAGTTGTGGGGGGATTAGACAGGAAGTTAAGTTTTCAGATTGGAATGCACAGGTAAGAAAATTAGGCATGGCTAGATTTTTCTGAAAACCTCAGTTGCTGAAGGTAGGTCATGCATGCTGCCTTCCACTCATATCTGCAATAGTCCTGAATCTGAGCTGGGAAAGGCACAGGATTTAAAATGGATTTCCAGTGGGTCCAAAAGAGATAAGTGCCAGCAACTTGGTTAAAGGAGCTCATGTGTCAGAAAGAAGCTGATTCCATTTCACATATCCAGAGCACCAAAACATTCTTTGGCCTTATAAATCATCTTCAGAAGTGCGTACATTCGGAAGCAAACAGAAATTAAATTTCACTCATCGTTTATCAGTCTTAAATTTCTTAATCCAAAGTAGACTTGGAATTTCATGGTTTAGAGTTAAAGTGTTAAATCTCAGCCTTTCTGCGTTCATCACATAGTTTTCAAATAGATGTTGATCTTTCCCGTTTAAACAAGCAGATGCAACCCAGTGGTTATCAGGTTGATGAGAGAACCCCCCTTCCTTTCTCTAGTCTGAAGTTTATAATATATGCCATGTTCCAGTAAGGAAAAAAGGAATATAAAATTTCATTTTCCAATGGATAGATGTTAATGACAGGACTTTTTTTTCCTTTTATTTTATTTATGTTTATTTTTATTTATTTATTTATTGGTGAGGAAGGTTGGCCCTGAGCTAACATCTGTTGCCAGTCTTTCTCTATTTTGTATGTGGGATGCTGCCACAGCATGGCTTGATGAGTGGTGTGTAGGTCCATACCTGGGATCTGAACCCTCGGCTACCGAAGCGGAGCACATGAACTTAACCACTCCGCCACTGGGCCAACCTCTTATTTATGTTTATTAAAAATAAAAATTGTATTTGGGGGCCAGCCTGGTGGTACAGCAGTTAAGTTCACATGCTCTACTTCCGTGGCCCAGGGATCTCCAGTTCGGATCCTGGGTGCAGACCTATGCACTGCTTGTCAAGTCATGCTGTGGCAGGTGTCCCACATATAAAGTAGAGGAAGATGGGCACAGATGTTAGCTCAGGGCCAGTCCTCCTCTGCAAAGAGAGGAGGATTGGCAGCAGATGTTAGCTCAGGGCTAATCTTCCTCAAAAAAATAAATTAAATAAATAAGAATTGTATTTTCAATTGTAGTAAAATTCACATAACATAAAATTTACCATCTTAACCATTTTAAGGACGCAGTTAAGTGATATTAAGTACATTCGCATTGTTGTACTACCATCATTACCGTTCATTTCCAGAACTTTTTCAACATCCTAAGCAGAAATTCTGTACTCATTAAACAATAACTCCCCATTGAGGACATGTTTTTTAATATAAGAATCTCTGGTTTCCTCAGATGTGGTAGTTATTACACCTATCGTGGCAGCTTATGACTTCGGGGAGAAAGTTCTTGCCAGACTTTTATGTGACTAACTAAGGATGTAGTCCCTTTGTATCTGAATCCTATAAAATTGACCTCATTTGTCCTTTCCTTCTAAAATCAAACACATACATATTAAAACACCAAATACCAAAGAATTTAAATATTAATTGGTTATTTCACAAATATGCCCACTAAATATGTAATTTTAAATATTTTCCTGAGTTCTAATGGTGAAATAGTTTTCAAATTTTGAAGCTATAGGTCCTTCCACTCCTTCAGAATGTTACTGATTTTTCAGTTTAACTGTTTGATATGGTCTCTATGCTAGGTTTAGTTTGTAGCCTAAAACTAGTGTTCAACAATTTTATTTACTATATAAGATAAACAAAACTGATTAAGTAGAGGTGTGTCAGATGCAAAAATTGCATCAGTGTAATAATTTCCATGGATGCAAGTCTGCTAGGGCTTTACAGATAATTGTCTCCAGGAAGTGTGAAAGATAAGGTCAAAGATTTGTTTTGATAACATGCAGAATTTGAAATAAGCCTTTTGAGAAAGCAAACATTTTCTAGGGTAAATATGTTTTTCTGCATTATGGGTCTAAAATCTAGTGTGTACACAGCCTTTATTCCCTCCCAAATAATTTATTTGCTGTCATTGAAAATAATTTTAATGTATTTCTGACTTTTCTTATCATAGCTCAAATTTATCAACCATGACATTGTTCTTTCTTCCTGTTAAATGCTTCCATATAATCTGAGAAATTTTATGTTTTCTCTGTACTTCTCTTTGCTGATAATATAAAGAGAGCATTGCCTGTCAATATATTTATTCTTCTTGAATATGGAGAAGGGCATAGAAAGTGCAGCATTTAATGGAAGTGGACTGCTTAGAATTTTGGTTCACTGGTAAAGTCAAGCTATTTTTTAATACTGTCATAATGTATACCCTATTCTCAATGTATAGCCATATACTCTGTTTATATACAAGTTAGCATGCCATCACCGGTGACACTGTCACTTTACTTTCCATTTTTGAAGGACCTCTGAAGCGAATGGCCTACATCTATAGAGTAAATCTCTTCTGAAAACTGCTCATGAAAAATAATTTTTAGCTGGATTTGGGCAAATAATGTCCTTTTCCTGCTAAATCTCAAATTAGGTCTCCTCTTCCACCCCACTAATGTCCTTGGTGGTTTAAATGTAAACACTTCATTGACCTCTGCAACATGAACAGCTCCTTGGAGCCTTGATAAATTTGTACCTGATGGCTCTAACAGAGTGTTGGGAGATGGGAGGCTCTGGGACAAATATTAGCACATAGAGAACAGAGTGAATGGGGAAAACGATGTTAAATAAATACGAATAAGAAAATTAGAGTCGTTGATAGTGTATAATATGATAAAAATGTTCTTACTTAGAGGCCAAAAGATGTTCTATAACTGTAATCTTAATTATAAATTACAAATCAAAAATTACGGAGAACAATTTATAATTACTTATACTTTGAGGATATGTTTAAATTCACATTATGTGTTCACTTCGCAGACTTTTTTTCTATTGACAGTCACTCTGAATACATTTTTAAGATTATGAATATTTTGAAATGTTAGATATTTTGATTTATTACTAGTGAATATTAGTGTTCCCATTTTGGAAATTACCTCTTTCTTTTTATTGAACTGCAGCTCAAAGAGTCATTCAAAGATATCAAAAAGAAATTCAACAATTTGAAGTTTAATTACACTAAGAAAAATGAAAAAGCTCGGAATCTGAAGATTCTTAAATATCAAATTCAACAAGTTGATATGTATGGTGAAAAATTACAGGTAATGAGAAAGTGTGTGTGTGTGTGTGTGTGTGCACTACTACAATGATTGTAAAATCATTTGTATGTCAACTTTGGATGCCTAAATCTTGGGCTTTTTTACAGCATTGGAACTGAAAAGGTAATTTTCCGTTTTTATAATAATTGGGTTCTTCGTGTAAAATATATGATAAATTGATTTGTCTCTTGAGGCAGCTCCAGAATGGAGCCAGAATCCAGCCTCTTTGGTTCCATTCTTCCTCCCAACGCACACAAACACACACACAAACACGCGTGTGCATGCACACATGCACACACCTTTTGTACACCTCTCTTCCTTTTCTTGTACTCGCCTATGTTAGGAACTTTCCCTGCTGCTCCCATAGCCCCTTATACCTATCCAGATTGTCCCACATCCTGGCTAGATTGAGTGTCTTTCCTAGGAGACAGCGAGCTTACTGAGGACAACAAAATAGTTAATTTTATGACCATTGTCTTTTCTTTATCATAGTATCAGTCTTAAAATCTGGAATAGATCCTGGTATATGGTAAATTTTCTATGTGTTTGCTAAATGCTGAATCAATAAACCATCTGGAGGAAAATCCCTTTGAAATAATTATGATTTTAACACGTTATAATGGAGGAAGCTACAAATTTTTTTCCAAATCTTTCTCTTAATATTAAATCACTAGCTCGCCTCATAAGTAAAAATTGAATGTTGTATTTACAACTTTCTCTTTTTGCACAGACTTTAAAAAGGAAAATGGAAAAAGTTGAAAATAAAACTTCTTTATTAAATTATCCAAATAATAAAGTTAGTGTTCTTCTGGAAGCCATGAAGGATTTGCAAAAACATGTAAAAGAGTTTGACAGAGTTGTGACAGATTACAAGAAGAATTTGGACCTGACTGAGCATCTCCAGGAGATGATAGAAGAGGTAACCTCTTCTTGTTGTAATGGTATCCATGTGTAATGTTGTTTTAAAAAATAACTCTTCTGCTTTAAAACACTACTGCATTAGCTATTATTGTCATTAAATCCATGTATCATGCTCTTTTTCTTGATTATTTCCTCAGGAAAATGTCCTAAAATAGAATTGCTGGACCAAAGGGGATGAATGTTACAAGGTTTTGATTGTATTGGCCAATTGCTCTTTGAAAAGATTTTACTAATTTACTCTTAACAGCAACATGTGAGGGTTTCTCATTTCCCTATAACCTCATCGACTCAAGATGTTTAACCATCATGGAATTATGTTCACTGCTGCATATCTGTTTAAAATACTCAAAATTACTTATTTATTTCACAGAGTTTGAAAATATTTCGAAAGAAAAGGTGATACTGAGATTTTTCAGGTACAAAAATGAGGATAAATGGTAAAGTATGCGTAAATTATGTGAAATTTGACAAGTTAAAGTTATTATTTTGCACACTTCCTACTGAAGAAGCTCTACCCTTGAAGTTCTCGAGTGTTCTTTGTAGCCCATTATTCTGAGATACGAAACCTCTCTCTTTATCACCCATGCAGTAGAGTTTTTAGATTTAACACCACATTAAGGAGGATCAAGATGCTCGTTCTTCTATGTCTGATATACGGGTTTGCTGTAGTTCTGTGGCACTTATTCAAAGCCAGCTCCTAACAGAGTCGTGTGTTTCTATTTCTCACTCAGTTTAAGTGCTCCTGGCCTTGAGCAGACGCATTCCTACCACCACAGTTATTTATTCTTAGTGAGAAACTGTGTCAATTCTCCACGGTGCTTTGACAATAAGACTAACCTTCGATTTAAAAAAGGTCAAATGCTGTTCTTTAGATGATATTTCCTCAATCCGTAGACTAAATCTCATTTTTCAAAGAGAATTTGTTTTATTAGAGTGTTAATCAGGCAATACTTTATCCATGTATTGTTAATGATTTCAGTTAATTAGCCAGGATTTTGTGTGTTTGGGCCTTTTTCTTTCCTTTAGCTGATATCTGGGTTCTTTCTGTGCTGTATATTTTTTGTACTGCCTATTCTTGTGAGTCTGCAACACTGCTCTAAGGAATTAGACTTCAGGCAAATCCAAGAAGGCAGGAATATCTAACGAATTTCCCTACTTTACTTTCTTATCTGACTCTAATATCCAAGTGCAAAAGTATTTGATCATGCTTTGATATTTTCTTTGTTAGGACTTAGAAAGGTCAAACTAATAAGAATATAAAGTTTGAGGAAATTGAAATTTGATACTTCGGCGGTCAAAATGAAGAATTTTAGAAGGATGCTGTCTCTTTAATCCTACTTTATCCCATTTTGATTTAGTGTCACTTTTGGTATGAAGATGCAAGTGCCACAGTTGTAAGAGTTGGAAAATATTCCACGGAGTGCAAGACAAAGGAAGCCGTGGAAATTCTCCACCAGCAGTTCAATAAGTTTATCACACCCTCAGTGCCACAGCAAGAGGCAAGGATTCAGGAGATCAGTGACCTCGCTCAGCGCTTATATGGTGAGGCCTCTTTTAAGATACCCGGTGATTTGCCATTGAACAAACCTATAGTGAAACTAATCTAGCAGGAAGCAGAGCATGGCAAGTCCTCAGCATTCTCACTAACCAACCTGTTCACGGAAAAGGCTCAAGATAAGAACCCACATCTGCAAAACTAACAGCAGGGAACTGAGGAAGGAACTTCTGACCATAGGAGATGAAGCCTGCGGATGTTTAACTTCCTTGTGTAAACCCTCCTTCTCTAGTCTCTTTTCTCCCCCATTCCTGTTGATCTTCTCCAGGGTAATAAAACTAGAACAATACTCAGCTTCTGTAGACCAAAAAATCTAATTTCCACTAGAGTGATTCCTTGAAAAACATACAAAACTCCCATGAAACTTTAAGGAGGTATAAAGCTAAGCCCGAAGTCTACAGCTTTCTCATTTCTGTGAGGGCTACAGTGTGTGGATAAAAGAAAGAACTGGAAGGGGCTGGCCTGGTGACGTAGTGGTTAAGTTTGTGTGCTCCGCTTCCGTGGCCCAGGGTTTGCGGGTTCAGATCCTGGGTGCGGACCTACACACCGCTCATCAAGCTATGCTGCGGTGGCATCCCACATACAAAATAGAGGAAGATTGGCATGGCTGTTAGCTCAAGGCCAATCTCCCTCACCAAAAAAGAGAGAAAGAAAGAGAGAGAGCTGGAAATTTTATCCTTGCCTTCCTTTCACCTGTAGAATAAATGGGAGAACTCAACTTACGGTTTCACAGGTACTGCTTTCCTCTTCTCATGGCTAGGAAAGATAACACAGTTGTCAGCCTGAGAAGTCCTTCTATCTAAAGGAGGCCCGCATTTAAGAAGCCCCTTTGGGTGATGATGGCCCTTGAGAGTGCTAAGGGATAAGTTTCATGAATTCCCTAATATTGTTAACTAAGAGGCCAAGAGCAATACCCAGTAACCAGGCAAATCCAGCCCAGAAAGAGGATAGCAACAGCTGCTATAAAATGCATCATTTGGCTGCCCACAGCTGCTACCAGATAAATATTTTCTCCTGCAACATGAAGTATTCTCCAAGGGTAGCCATACAATTTTTGTAGAACAATATATCCTGTACTACTTAATATTAAATTATTGAGAATGAATTACCAATGATTTTCCAAAGGAAAAGGGTAGAAACATAAAAATAAAATACAGATTGAAAAATTCGTGAAATCTAATTGATGTCTGATTGTTACTATAGTAACTGTAGGAGTGCACTAAAACATTTTGGAGGCACTCTGCTCCCATAATATTATATATGTTTCTCTCTATTACTGTACTTTTCACACTGTAGCATAATTATCTGTTCATTTGTCTGTCTTCTCTACTGACCATAAGCACTTTGAGGGCAAAAAAAGTATATTTTATCACTTTATTTCAGTGCCTATTCAATTTCAGGACATGGTAAATATTCACAAAGACACCATAAAAGTCATGTTCCCCTCCCATCATGCATGGTCCTGTATCGTGCTTTCTTTCTATTCCTAGCCATGATCATCAACTGACACGCTGTATGGTTATTTGTCTGTTGTCTGGCTTTCCTTACCAGAGTGTAAGCTCTGTGAGGGAAAGGATTTTGCCTGTTAGTTTACTGCTTCCTGGTGCTTACTAAGTGATTGACAAATATTTGATGATTAAGTGAATCATTGAAGGAATAAATGAATGGCAGGTGTCTTCATCTGTTTAGTATCAAAGCTATGCATTTTTAAGAATTTGTTTCAAGTGAGATACTTTAGGAATGTTATATCAACTCTTGCAGGCCACCCAAGCATTACTGAATCCAAAGTTTTAATGCAAATACATTTATCTCAAAAAAATTTTGAGTACCTATTATGTACTAAGAGCTGTGATTGCTGCAAAGACAAATAAGACCTAGTTCTTTCATTGGAGGATCCACAGTCCAGGCCTAGAAGTCTTGATATGGTTAAAGCAGTGAAGAAGGTATAAAATGTGTGCACTGGTGTTCCAGGGCTGCCGTAACAAAATACCGCAGCCTGGGGGACTTAAACAACAGAAACTTATTCCCTCACAGTTTTGGAGGCTGGAAGTCCAAGATCAAGTCGCCGACAGGCTTGGTTTCTCCTGAGGCTTCTCTCCTTGGCCTGCAGTTGGTCCCTCTCTTGCTGCCTCTTCACAAAGACATCCCTTTGTGCGCAGGCACCCCTGGTGTATCTTCCCCTTCTTAGAAGGGCACCAGTAACATTGGATTAGGGCCTCACCCTAATGGCCTCTTTTAAGCTTACTCACCTCTTTAAAGACATTGTCTCCAAATATGGTTACCTTCTGAGATACTGGGGATTGGGACCTCAACATGTGAATTTTGTGGAGGGACACACTTCAGCCCATAATAATGCACAATGAAGTTTAGCCTAAGCTGTAGAGTGTGATAGCCCTGGGTTTAAACCCTGTCTCCTCCAGCTATTGTCTGGGTCACCTGAAGAGGCTCTTTCGAGCCTCGGGTTGCTCATTTGTGAAACCCAATAGAGCCTAGCCAAGGACATTAGATAGCGCATATAAAGTGCTTAGCCCCAGGCAAATCATAAGCACTCACTACATGGCACATATTTTTATTATTATTCCAAGAGGGAGAGAGAAAATCCAGTTGGGAATGATTAAGAACATTTTCACAAAGATATTGGCATTGAAGAGTGGGTGGGGTTTTAAGAACAGAAATAGGGAGAGGGGAGAGGGCATTCCCAGAGCGGGAAAGAATACTCAGTGGCTGTGGGATTTTAAAGGAAGAGTTTGCTGGGTCAGTCTGGCCAGAGATGAAATACGTGAGGGAATCAGGGTGACACACATTTGGGAGAGGCAGGTGGAAACCATATCACGGAGGGCCTTGAATGTGTGCTTTTCTAGGGAGGGAAGAACCGCTGAATGTTCTGAACAGGAGAAAACTGATTAGAATGAAGCTTTAAGAGTATTAATATAGCAACATTATTTAGGTTACATAAAAGTGACATGATACAACACTTGTAACCATTTTTCTAGAATACCGCAAAAGACTATATTCATTTATTTATGTGTTCAGCAAGTATTTATTAAGCACTCACTATCTACCAGCCCTTACACCAGACACTGGGGAGATTAATTAACGCCTGGGCTTTATTTTTTTTTTCCTGCTAGGATTTGACTTTTAAAAATAGTTTTGTCCCATCTCTTCCGCAGGTTTTGAAGAAGGGCAGAAGTATGCTGAGAAAATAGTGGCAAAACACAAGGAGGTTCTTGAATCTATTACTGAATTATGTGCCTCTCTAACAGAGCTTGAAGAAAAACTGAAGGTAATTCCTTCTTCCCAGAATATGTATTTTCAAGTGATATAAATAAAAATGTGTTGATTGAGTGTCTTCTGGTGCAAAGATGTTCTAATGGAAATTCTCGAGGGACATAATGTGCACATTTGTTTCACAGCTTTCTAACATAATTATCTGGGTGTTTCTGATAATTAATTCTGTTTCTTTTCCATCACTGCAGAGAAAAATATTGCTTGGAATGAGGGCTAAACACAATTAAGGTGTCTCGTTTACATTTTCATGGATCATGTCCTAAAGGATAAATGTGTGCCATTAAAATCAAAGCAAAGTCTATATTAAGTAGCCTTATGCTTTTGTTCATAAATAATGAATGTAATGTGTTAGGGGTGTCTTTTTCCTCCAAATCATGGCTCTAGAGAAAATACAACTAATCTTCAGGTACTATATTCATTGAACATTTAGCTTCATGCAAGTATTAAACTAATCATGCATCTTTCATAGAATAAAAAAGTGACGGTAAAAAATATAGAGAACATATGCTGATGTCCATGCTTAGGCAAAATCCAGTTAAAAGACAGAAATATATGTATTCTTTTGTCTTTGTGGGTCGAAAATTGGTTTTATTAGTGCAGTTTTTACAACTGGCTGAAAGAACTGGTTATTTAGGATGGAGGGAATGGCAAGCACAGGCTCTAGAGGGAAGCACAGCCACCGAGGAGTACCAACTCCTCAAAGTATTGGATTTGTGATTTTGAATAAATTACTTAATCTCCCTAAGACTCAATTTCCTAATCTATAAAATCGAGGAAATAGGGGAACCTAATTACAGGGTAGGCCCGTGTATTGACTAAGAAGACACCCCTCGTTCTTGCTGTGATTATTCTTGTTATTGAGACGTAATGGTGCGCTTGCAGTTCAGAGTAGAATTATGTATATTTCTAGCAACCATTTTTTCTGCATGAATTTCCATGCCATAAATTTGAGTACTCATTCCATTCAAAATAGTTTGTCAAGCTTTTAAATCAATGGATGCCCAACCAAATTATCTTTTCCATTTGGTTAAAGATCTGGATTTTTTTTTACTTTGTTTTTTTTTTTTATTATTTTAAATGACACTACTATGAACATCTTAATGCATAACACTTTTTCTTTCTTTTGTATTATTACCTATGTGTAAATTCTCCAAAGCAGATTTGGGTAAACGGGTATGAAGTTGTTAATGTTCCTTATATATATATATATATATACACACACACATGGAATTAGAATAATATGTATGTGTTAAATTGCTTTCCATAAATGTTTTACAATTATAATGCCACCGGTAATGTATGCATGTGCCATATATCTTATATTCTTTTTCTACATTTATTATTTCCTCCCCACCCCTTGAAGATCTGTTTCTTCTCCTGACTTTCAGTACACAGCCTGAAAATCACTGCTCCCTCTGACTCTTTGCTCTCTATTGTCCACAGCATCCCTCCCATTTATGTTGTACATCTTGGAGAGAGATCCACTTAATAAAATATCCTCTCTTAAAGTTATATCTCTTTCTAGCTTTCGCCTTCATGGCTATTCTTCCTGAAAGCTGTTTTTACTCCCTCTCCCCACTTCCTCATTCCCCATTCCTTCTACCCGCCCCATAGTCAGGATTTCACGCCCCCCCTTCTCATTCCCAGTCCACCAGTTGGATTCTTTTTTGTACTAGTCGAGAGCCTCCTAATTATCCACTGCAGCGATCACCCTTCCTAAACACAGTTCTGCTAATGTCATTTTTACTTTCAAAACACTTCACTACAAACTCTCCATTGCTTACCAAATAGAGTTCAGACTCAAGACCTTCCAGTGTTGTGAGGCAGATCGCTGTTTCAAATCACCGGGTTTCTCCATTCCTTGTTGCTTCCTATTTCCCTGGTCTCCTACCCCATGCTCCCGAGTTTCCTGCTTCTGGACCTTTACTTCACGTGCGTGACCTTCTATCTCCGCTTATCTAAATTTGACCACCTCTAAGAGCCCAGCTCAGTACTGCCTCCTCCACGACTCCTTCCTTAGCTGTGTCACCCCTTCTCTGACCTCCCACAGCACCTGTGTTCTTTCCCACCCTGGTCATCGCATGCAACTACTGATCCCATCCCAACCCCTCTACTTGATGACACTTGAAGAAACCCTATGGCTCTGCTCAGTTTAGCATCCCACACAACATTTAACACTAGGTTTTGCCTAAAACAGGTTCTCCAGAAAGAGTATTGGCATTTGTAGGAAAAGCTCAAAGGATTGGTACAGAGAAGAAGGATTGTTCAATAGCTCAAAAAGGTTTGATTTGGGTGAATATAAAAATGAGAAAGGGCTTTTTTGGCAAAAGAAATAGGCACCAGCATTGCCTTTATGAGTTACAGAGTGAACAAAAGCTGGTCAAAGAATGCTCGCTAACACACTACAGATGGTTGCGTGAGAATACAAACGTCTAGTTTTTATGTTTTTAAGGTGATGCTATGGCTCTCTTTTGCAGGGGTTATTAAAAAGTAGTCCCAGAGATCCCTGTCAAGGCTGAAATAGTCATAATAATCCTTTCTATTTTTGTATAGCAATTCGAGATTTACAAAGGATTTTCATATGTATTACCTCAGTGATTTCCAAATAACCTTGTGAGGATGATAAGGCAAATGTTGTTTTCTTTGTTTTAGAGGTAAAGTTCAAAGACGATGAAAGTGCTTTGCTTGGGGCCCAAAGTGAGTAGTGGTGGATCTGGAATTTGAACTTAGGTATAATTTAAAATCCAGCATTCTTTCCACAACCACTCCCATTTTGGAATTAGGTATCAAGCATGTACTAAAGCAGAGTAACTTACCAGTGATACAAACCAGTCTAAGTTTTAGAGTTGAGACTAAAAACTGAATCTTCCCAGTAAGTGTCTCCCCAAATCCTCTGAGTCCGTGTAGCATGTGCACTGAGGAGCATGCTTGTTTCTCTAAGGCCCATCTAATGACTGTGTTCCGTGTGGAATAGAGAATCTTGTGTTGCAGTATAATCATCAGCCTAAACCAGTGTTCAGTCACTTTGTGTACCTCTGGCTCATTTCACCTTCATGAAGTCTTTTCGGCCTGACACTGGCTATGCAGCTGTTTGCAAATCCCCTCTATTTCCATGACAAAAATGGAGCCCCATGAACTACAGGAACAAAATATCAGCACCCACATGAAGCATTCCTTTGTTCTCAGTTATTTTTTTTCTTTACCATACTCAGCGATATTTCTTTCTACTTTTCATGAGTCTCTGAAACATTTTGCTTGTATGAATTCTCTGGATTTCCTACTTTGTTGTCCACTAGAATCTTTAGTCTTTTCTACCTCATTGCTTCTCCCCCAGACTCTCCTAATGGTTTAAACTGCCATGCACAATGGTTCCTTTCTCTAGAGAATGCTCCTGGAGGTGCATCCTATCTATCGTAACAATGACTTTTTTCCTGCTGGGCCCTTGAACAACCAGTATTTACTGGCAATAAACTTTATCAAAGGAGTGAGGAAGGAGGAGAATTGTGAACTTGAAGGGAATGTGATGTGAACATCATGGAAATACTTCAGTCTCTTGTAGAATACATTTACTGAAAAGTTAAACGTGGCCTCTGTTTTATTCCAAGCGGTTATTGTTGGCACTGTTCTTCCAACTTTCCTGGCCCAGGTTCTCACTAACCATCACTTTGTGTAGCAGGGAGACATTACAAGGATGAGTCTGACTTTGGAAGATTTCCACGATGAAGGTATTGGCCTACTAAAAGAACCAATGAGAAATAAGCAGACAATATTGAAAGAAGAAAGGAATAAGGTAAAGAAAACTATTTAACCTCAGCTATTCATACTTTTGTTTTGAGTCATTGTGCATTCCAAAAAAAGAAGTGAGTTGAAGCCTTCTTATCTATCTGAATTGTGTCTTCCAATGTAAATGCAATGTGAGTGTCCTCATCCCTTACTTCCTCTCTACCGTTACTTGGTCTTTCTTCTCTTATCCCTGCTATTTCCCTCTGAGCTCCTCCTATTAAACTCTGGAACCAAGCATTTCACAGTGGCACTGGGACAGCTATTCAAACACCACAGCCTCGCCCTAAACCACTTATATTTTCCCCATCTTTAGCTGCCTTTCCCATTGTCCTTTTGTATTCCACCCCAACTTCAGGTTTTACTTCTCCCTCTTTATCATACCGCCAAGCTGTGATTTTGTTCTTTTGCACTACCCATTGGAAGACCTTAATACGTGAAATTAGATTGTATCTTGTTCCCATAGAATCTGCCTCTAAGAGGATATTTCCAGGCACACGTACTAAAAGATAGAATCCAACTGAAATATAAATATGAAATTATTTAGAGAAATGTTTAAATGACTTTAAAACCTATGCATTACAAATAAATTAAGCATGTAACAAAACCTACAAATACTCACAAAATGTAAATGTATCATGATTTCAAAAGCATGATTTAAATCACATCATTATGGATTTTCAGGATAAATTGCTCACTATCTATTCATAGCTGCTGGACTATAATTAGCTCTTGACTTTTTGTTTTGCCAAGTCGCCTGCTCCCAATGTTTCTCTCTTTCCCAAAGAACTAAAAGAACAAGCAGAGTCAATGTGATTCTCAACTGCCCCCAAATTAATAAAAAATACTTCCTATGACCTGAGAGTTAAAAAAAAAAAATCTCCCCACTTATTGCAGTTATCTCATGGAGAAAGATTTATCTTTCCTTGAAGTCAATACAGTTCTCAGAGCTTCTTTATAGGTCCTTTTCCACAGGTTAAATCTATGTCAAGGTCTAGTGCAATCATACAACCACCAGGCAGCAAGGACCAACAAGCAAGCTGACTTTTTTTGTGGCATGGCCTTGAGACTTTTAAACTCGGGTTCCTCTCTAAGGCAAAGGAAAGCTACCAAACCTTGGTCTTCTTGTTTGGACCTTAGTCTTATATCACATGGTCTTTGGTTAGTCTGATTTGTCTAAATCAGAGTTTCCCAGCATCAGCACTATTGACATTTTGGCCCAGAGAATTCTTTGTTGCAGGGTGCTGCCCTGTGCGTTGTAGGATGTTTAGCATCATTCTTGGCCTCTAACGATGCCAGTAGCACCCCTCCTTCATCCAACTGTGACAACCAAAAATGTCTATAGAAATTGCCAAATGTCCCCTAGGGAGCAAAACCACCCTCGATTGAGACTGACTAGTCAAATTAATAAAGAATAATATTAAATGCATCCCATTTTCTTAACTAAATTTCTAAGAGATACTAAGTCCAACAGCCTATTATTTTTTTCAATTCTGCACATTTTTCTGCATTGTCAACCACACACATTTACTTAGAAATGAATGTTATTGCTACCAAAGAAAACAAACTCATTTATACTTAGTAAAAATAGTTTTTCTTGCTTTTATTTATTTTTCTTAGAAGGAAAATTAAAGGAATAGAGTCCTTTAAATAAAAAGCAAGATTTACTTTTGTTGATAAATCACTTTTATTTTAATACAAATTAAAAGACATGATAGATCATCAATTATTTAGGACAGAAGTAAAGGTCCACAATTTACAGCTGTCAGGAACTGTTGCTGACATTGTTTCGCATGTACATTCCAGTGCAATTGGTACAGAAAGCAAAATGAAAGGGTGGCAGTAATCTTCACTTTTAAACAACTCGATCACATTTGTCCTCTATTATCTCTATCATTTATATTATAGGCCAGATGTAATAATTCCCCCAAAACACCATGTGGGCAGATAACAAGAAGCACGACGTAAAAACCTTGTCCAGGAATCACTGTGTTCAATTCTGATTCCCTTAAATGGTGTTGATCTTCTCTGGAAAATTATTTGAGTCAGAAAGAGCAATTCCACTAAACTATTACAAGAATATATTCATCACAGAATTTTCTCCTGGAGAGAGTAAAGTGCTTCTCATTTTTCTGACCTAAAAATGCAACAGGTAGAATTAAGCAATTTAGTGAATGCAGTGCCTCTTGCCCTGCTAACAGATTAGCAATGGAGTTTTATCCCCAAGGTGAGCACCGAAGCTAAATCTGTAGTAATATCTAAAAACTCCTAAGAGTAGATGGAGGCACAGAGTATGAAGAGCCTCGCCTAAAGTCACAAACTATTCGGGAGAAGATGAAGGCTTGCGCCCCCAGCATTTCCCGTTCCAGAATTCTAGTGCTGGAAGGGATTTAACAATCATCTGATCAAATCTCATTTTACAGTTGAGGAAACCGAGGCCGAAAAAGATTAATTAGTTGCCTTCCCAAAATCACAGAAAGTAGTGTCAGCACTGGGCAGGCAGCCCAGTTCTCCTGAATTTCAGCCATGTAACTTTTCCACAAGACCGAAGGGGAGCTGCAAGGAACTGCTGCGCATAAGTAAGCCGGTTTGTACTGATACCAGATTCCCAGGTCAAACCTTTCCCCTCTTTCTGTTCATCTGTTTACATGATGATTAATAAAGCAATAGCAGGGAGCTACTTTTGTACCAAGCAATTCAGTGGAGCGCTGTCATCAAACTGAGTGAGGACGATCCCTGGGCCCTCCTCCGCTAATTTTGATCACCTGGTGGGGTGGGGGTTGGAGGAACGTTCTTGAGACACTTGCTTCGGAAAAAAATTGGGAAAGAGATAAAGTCTTCCTCACCATCTTTCTGTCCTCTTCTCTTTTACCTTTTCCACCCCAAGTGCCCAAAAGTACCAAGTCACCCCTTGGCTGCCCCAAGCCTCTTCCAAAGGCCTTCCCCAGAAACACCTTCATAGACCAAGTCCCATGCTCAGTAGCTTTCTTTCTCCACTTTCCACTTACCTTCATTAAATCTTATTTATCCCAAGATAAGCCTATCTATTGTGGAGATATTTGGGAAGGTAAAGTCTTGTGGTGGTCCCTTAAATTTAGCACGTAGTTGGCTCCTCTCTGTATATACTTTGAGGATTGGTTCTACATATTTAGTTCAATGGATATAAAATATCATTATAGTCTCTCTTCTAGATAATCACATTGTTTGCCTACATGACAATGATTGTAAATCCAAGTGATTATGTCCATCAGTGGAAATGAAAGTCCAGAAATCCTGACAGAGATAAGATCTGAAGCTATAGATTTAAGATTAATTAAAAGTTAATTGTTAAAATGTATAAATTTCCAGTTCTAAAATGAATGTCATTGGAATGTAATGTACAACATGGTGACTATAGTTAATAATACTGTATTGCATATTTGAAAGGAGCTAGAGAGTGGATCTTGAAAGTTCTCATCACAAGAAAAAAAAATTTGTAGCTAAGTATGGTGATGAATGTTAACTGAACTTATTGTGGTGCTCACTTTGCAATATATCCAAATATTGAATCATTACATTGTATACCTGAAAGTAATATAATGTTATGTCAATTATACCTCAATAAAAAAAGTTAATTGATCATTAGATATGAAAGTGGGTGAGATTTTTGAGAGGAAAAGTATGTAGAGAAGATTAGAGAACTTAAAGATGAGATCACACATCATTCAAAAGTCTACAAGGTGGGAAGAGAAAAAAGAATCGATGAAAAAGACAAAGAGCAGCCAAGGCTGCAAGAGAAACAAATTGAGAATGAGCTATGTTCTGGTGATTCAGATCAGAATTTCCCAGCAATTTTCCCAGAACACATCAGACTGATGCAAATATGCCCTGTCCGTGCTGAGATGTATAGATTTACTACCCTTTTCTGGAAACATGCACACACACACACACACACACACACACACACACACACACACACGTGATTTCTACTAATAGCAAAGATGGATTTGTGGTGGGAAAATACAAAAAATAGCTGGTATATGTGAATGTTTGGAAACCATTTTCATCAAGGATATCTAGGTAGACCCAGGAAACTATAGCTCTGTGAGTTTCAAAAGGAAATTTTGTAAAATTCCATGATGACCCCAAAACTGAAAGCTTATTTGCATTTGGGAATAAAGGCAGAAGCCCCAAGAGACAGCATGGATTTACTCAGAAAAACTTGTATTGAACTCACCTTATTTTGTTTTCTGAGATAGTTCTTTAATGAGTAATTCTAGGCTAGTGCCAGAGGCAAAATTTACTGTGATTTCAGGAAGTCATTTGATAAACATACTCATGATATCTCTCTTAAGATAAGTGGAGAAATGTGAACTGAATGAGAGTTTGGTCAGGTTATAATTGTGCCCAGGAGTATTAACTAGTTCATCAATGTCAACCTGGAAGACAGTCTGCCTTGAGGAGACATCTGACTTTGTCCTAAACTCCGTAGTTTTCAACATTTTTATCAACAATGTTAATGGACAGAGGAGGTGGGAAATTTAAGTTGATTAAAAACTTGGTATGAGTCAGTAGTCCCAAGTGGGTCTTATAAAAACAAAAAAAGAATTAATATAATTACTACAATGAAAACATATCGTATAGATCAAGGAGATGATGATTCCACTGATTACTCTCCATCGGGAAAGTAAATAAATCCTGGACATAAACATATTTAGGAGGGGAACATTAATAAGTAGAAATGTTCCTAGAAAAAGATTTGAGAAAACTGTATCTCTTATTGTCAGTAGAAGTAACCTAGTAGTGTTGTTTCCATTTTAGGAATTGTAGGAAGTGAAAAATTTATATCCTTGGATTCCCTTCTTGAGTTTGGCACCATGTGAAAGTGACACACAGGACTCAGGAATTAGTAACCAGTAAAGGCTGGATGGGAGAACATGGCTCAGATTTTTCTAGTGGATTTCCCTCTGATTTAGATAGACTTGTCTACCTAGGCACTTAGGTGCACAGCTAGACAACCACAGGCTTTCTGTACCTGGATTTTTAATGCCTTAGAACCAATGTGAATGTACCCATTTGGTGAAAGGCAGATCCAACAGAGAGGGCCTCAGAGAGACAGAGCTGGTGCTCAGTGTCTTCTTCCAAACCCTCAGATAGTTACATCAATTCCTCCCCAGGAGGAAGAGAGGAGTGGGGGACTAGCATGGACTTTTACCCAAGTTTCTCTCCTAAACTTGCTGCAAATTTTCAGACAATTTTAAAACGTTGCTCCTCTCTAGAGAGGCATAGGTTACCCAAAGAAGTCATTAAAGAGTAGCCTGCCCCTGGATGACCCTCAGATCAACAAATATCCATGTTCTCCTTTGAAGGAGCTGATAGCCCAGGAGGAATGGGACCTCCAAGAAAGTGACCAGGATGGTGAAAGTTCTGGGAGCAGGGCAGAAGAAGACCTGGAGGTGTTTAATACAAACAAAGAGACTGAGAGGTTCCAGTTCTCCAAATTTCTCCAAATGGTCAAAGGGCTGTTAAAAAAGGAAACAGTTGGATATCTTTCTATGTTGCTCCAGGAGGTCAATTCAGATCCATTGGTGAATACCACAGGAAGGCAGATCTTGACTAAATATAGGAAGATATTTTTAATACAAGTAAAGCATAAAATCCTTTTCAAAGAAAGCACCCTTTCAGGAAAAGTGCTCAAACAGAGGCTGCCAGAATGTCATAGAGGAGATTCTTAGACTGACGAGAGGTCAGATCAAAGTCCCTCTGAGAAGGGAAACAAACATTCTACCTTCAGGAAGAAATGGAGAGAGAGGCAGCGTGAGCTGTAGTAGGAAAACCCAAAGAAGGAGGGGCGTGCCTTACTGGGTATGTGTCTATTTAGTAATTTTTCTTTTAATGAGAAGGACTTTTAAGAACTTCTAGCTTTTAGACTCAGAATTTAAACTTCTACTAAATGGCTGAAGGAAACTCCTTTCTCTAAGCTGGGTTTATGCTTTCTCGGAGGACGGCATATCTGTGGGATAACATTGTTTTGTTTTGGCTTCTAACCTTCGATCTGAAAACACATTTATTTCTCAGAAATCATTTATAAAGTGGATGTCAGGAGCAGGACTATGGGCTAAAATGAAGAACTCAAAGCCAAGGCAAGATGTAACTTTCTTATGTGCAAGGAGTAGCAAGAGGACCAAAACCAGTAATTGCTAATTAAGTAAAAATGCACCCAAAATGCTGATGAAAGGCAAAGAAAGAAGTAGATATAAAAGAAGCAGGTTGGGATAGATGAGAGCCTGTTCAGCTTCAGTGTTCTTTTGAGTCTATGCCAGAGGGATATTTGAGCCTCTTCTTAACCAAGAGATAGATGTGGATTAACGGGGTGGAACGCTAGATCACTGTCAGCAGGAGGTGAAGTACGGCTGTTCATGGCATCCTGGCATGACCTATGCTCCACATGGGGCAGGAGGATAACCGGCAGGTGTTCCTCTGTTGTATCCCAGTGTGTTCTCTTGTGAAAGGCCACAACGTGTGATTGTTGCATTAATATCTACCTCTGCCACTAGGCTGTCATCTTCACGAGGGCAGAGACTGTACTTTTACTTACCGTTTCCTCTCTCACATGTCTAACACAGTATCTAGTATATAACAGGTGCTCAATCAATATTTTTCAATGTAAGGACAAAACTAAGGGGCTTGAAGAAACAAAATCAGTCATTACAAATGGCTTTCTCCATATGAGGTTCCTAGAGTAGTCAAATTCATAGAGACAGAAAGCAGAATGGTGGTTGCCAGGGGCTAGGGGGAGGGGAGAATGGGGAGTTAGTGTTTAGTGGGTCGAGTTTCCGTTTGGAATGGTGTGAAAGCTCTGGAGATGGATGGTGGTGATGGTTGCACAATAATGTGAAGATATTTAATGCCATGAACTATACACTTAGAAATGGTTAAAGTGGTAAATTTTATGTCGTATACATTTTACCACAATAAAAATTTTAAAAAAGAATGGCTTTCCTGAGAAAGGAGAGGAGGTAATTCTAGGAGGATCTGAGAGATCACCTAACAAGGGCGTCTCCAATGTTAGGAGCTATGTGTTCCCATGGAGCATAGGCGATCAACCCAAGCAGAATTTGCTGGTGGAAGGAGACACTTCAGATTATGATTTGAAAGACATTGATCCAGGCCAACCCCTTCCTTACAGATGAAAACTAGGGCCTTCTCTTTTCTGTTTCACAAGCTGTATCACATTTCACTCAGAGACCTGAGGTCAGTTTACCAATTCCTTAGTCATGGGATGGGACTATGCCCAGGGTAGACGGACGAATGGTTTCAAGTTCCGTAATGCTTGTGCCAGGGCTCCTAGCTTTAACTCACTGTAGAATTTCTCAAGTTGTCTCTCTGGAGTTGAGTTTGAGACCTGAAAAAAGAAAACACAATGCCTAATTCAGAGCTTTGGCTTTTCTGTTTTGAAGGAGAACGCACATCTAGCAGACATTTTGGCCATCAATGGAACCAGAGAGGGTCAACTTCCCCAGGGCCTGAAGCAGCTGTCCCCTGACAAAGAGAGCAGTGTCCAACACCTGCTCCTGCCTGCAGACACACTTTCAGGAGAAGAATATGAGTGTGTCTCACCTGATGACATCTCCTTGCCTCCACTCCCAGGAAGCCCTGATTCCCCCCTGGCACCATCTGACATGGAAGTGGAGGAGCGGGCCAGCCCCTCCCTCAGCCTTCATATAAGCAGACACAGGATGCAGATAGGGGCCGGCAGTCTAGGGGAGGCCCAGGAATCTGGTCTTCCACCACCTGCTGCTTTTGCTGATGCTTGCAATGATAACAGAGAAACATTTTCAAGTCATTTTGAGAGACCGTACCCCCAGGTCAAAACTGAGCTCCCATTAACCTCCCGAGGATTTCTGGAAAAAAGTACTGGCTTCCGCAAAATCAGTGCTAAACAGCCAGAGAGCATGCCGAGTGAAGTGCATGGGAGAGCTTTCCAGCAGCACCCTCAGGCTCAGGGAAGTTCGCTAGAAACACAGGAGAAGATGCATGCTGAGAATAACATCACTAAAACCCGAGATAGGCTGCATGCTTCCCAGGATGCATTCTCGGGCCTAGGGTTTCCATCAGGCCCCAGCTGGGCCTATCAGAGGCAAATGGTTCCCCGAGAAGAGATTAAAGGTACCTCAGCAAAGAACAGCGTGGTCAGCCTAGCTGGCCAGGCGCCTAATTTCTCCAGGCTCCTGTCTAATGTCACTGTCATGGAAGGTTCTCCAGTGACTTTGGAAGTTGAAGTAACAGGATATCCAGAGCCTACACTGACATGGTGGGTAGCCTATAATGACAAGCCATAACCACAAACAAATTGGATCCCTGAGCAAACCATCCTGTGTGCACTAACTTAAAGGTTTAGGGACAGCTTATTAATATTCTAGGACACTGCCCCACTGCATGATTCAACCTCGCATCAAACCCCCAACTCTCATTTTGGTAGCAGCATGGCTAACACCCTTAAGAAAAAAGTAACTATATAAAAGAATAATTTAACAAACTCTAAAAGCACTGCAACTTTGTTGTGGTTTGTTTTTGTTTTTATCAGTTTAACATTCCACATTATAAAGATTATGGGTTGAAATTCTTTCCTATGGTTTATTTCTACATAAGCATGACATTTTCTTGGTTTAACATCTCCTATTCAATTAAAAAGATAAGAATTTGGGTTTTTCCCTTTTCTTTCATTTACTTATTTCATCTCTTCCCTCCTCCCAACAGTCACACATGCCACCTTTGTAATTGGTTTGTTTCACTAAGAATTCTTTTTATAAATTTCCTCAGTGTGAGAGATGGAATAAAAATATTTCTTTCACAGTTGCTCCCAGTGATGAGTAATAGTCCATTTTTGAAAGGTAGTGTAATAACTGAGATGTGAACAGTCTGAGTTCACTCTGGAGACATCACTGTTTTTTAAGCTTATCTGTTTTAATAAAAGTAAAGTGCAGAATACAGGTTTTGAATTACCTATTGTTGTTATAAAAACAGTTGTAAGTTTCTCAACATGTGAGTTACTTTTAAACACTTAGAAATTCTTTCACCCTTAAGTAGTTTTGAGGGCAAAATTACAAATAGAAGAAAACAATTTTATATTTTAAGATAAATAAAATAGCATTTATTTATGATAATATTTCGGTAGATGTTAAATTAGCAGTTTCAATTATCGTGTGTGCCCATTGATGGCACTTGAAGCGTGAATCGGTTATCTAAAGAATTTATGAGAAAACTTTGGTTTCTCAGATTATTCAAAGAAACTGCACTTGTGCTACGGTGCCACCATTTATGCTTTTGTTTCATTTTGTTGTTTTTACAATTGCATGTTTTTTACAGATCAGGAGTTTCATATTTATGAATTTAAAAGATATTTAATTTATTATTAAATATCAGTTCACGTCAAAGAAAAATGTTGTCTGAAGTGTTTCTTGTTTTTGTTGACACAACAAATAACTTGGTCAGTATATTGCGTTGAAGAACTATTGCAACATTGTGAAAAATATCTTGCCCTCAGATTTACAACAATTTGCTCAATTAGCAATAGGCAAGTTATCAGGGAATCATACGTTCTTACGACACAGAAAAATGCAAAATTATCACTTGACAATGGCAACAGAGAATGATTCAGGTTTGTCATCACTTCTTATGTAGAAGAACATGGATATAAATAAATAAACAAGAATCTAGAATATGCAAAATAAACAAATTATTTGCTTTATAAAAAGATGAAGCTAAGTGCTCATGTTTATAGGAAATTTAGAAACGTCATTAACAGTAATAATCCAATTGCATAAATACCTTTTATAATTAGAAATCATTTTCTTCTAATGAAATTAATTCACAAAAATTAAATGAACTCATTTTACCAGGAAATGCTGTGTAGGTACCTTCCCCTACAACAGCTCACTGGTCTTCTCATGTGGATCTTATGGAATGAATATGGCGGGCCAGATGAGTCTCACTCCAATACAGATTCTAGGAAGTCACAAGTTGCTGTACCATAGCAGCTGAAAGAATGACACAGGCCAAGTAGGGGGTGCCATTTCACACTCTACATAGTTGTTGCCACGAGCAAATGGTGGCCCAGTGTGACCAGATGGTCTGGTGTTTTTAAGAGTAGTTGGTTATCTGAATTTTCATATGCAATAATCCAATTGTTAATGTTGTCAAAAAATTCAATTTTTTAAAAACATGATCCAAGGTGATCAAACTTCACTGGCCCCTAGTTACCAACCTCTGCTTGAAGGATAAACAGCCCCACTGGAATTTGTGGTAGCTACAATTTTCCTGCTAATGCTAGCGAATATTGCAGCAGTAATGGGCCTATTTGCAATGGTTATTAGAACTTGGAAATCATGTGAATAAACAGTGGTCCTGACTTTAAAAACTGACTCTCTGCTTCAGGTACAAGAAAGGCCAGAAACTGTCTGCAGATGGGCACTTACAGGTTTTACACAAGGAGACGAGACATTTGGTGTCCATTCCGAAGGTATGCAAGGCAGACGCAGGCCTCTATGTGGCTCAGGCCCAAAACTCTAGTGGCGTTCTCTCTTCCAATGTCATCCTCCATGTGACAGGTAACCACAGGCCACCAATCACAAGAATAAACTGGATAACGCTGTGTGTCATCTATGTTAGTGTGTTCCTAATGTACTGGCTACTCACACAGTGACTGTGGGCTTGGCACTCGTGGACGGCATTCTCGTGAGCCTAAAGGACAACACGGATACTGATTTTCCTGCACGATCACCCACCAAGTATACCTGCATTCTGGCCATATGGCTTGTTGGGTTAACACCACTGCTTGGTGAAATAATCAAATTTTCTTTAGTGCTTTAATGTATTTGAGGAGCTTGGTAAATTACTAGCAGTGAATAAGGACGCATTTTTGTATTCTAAAAAGAGATATGTTCTAGATAAAAAAGTAAAATTATGCTATATTTATTCCCTCCTAATTTAAGACCATGCAGATCAAGGCTCACATCAGCGTAGAGAACTAAGTTAAATTTCAAATCCAATTGTTTGATAATTTATTTTTAATTGTACTCATAAACATCTCTTTGTAGAATAACAGTAGAAATCTTGAACTGAAGTTGTAATTTTCATTATTGCTTTAGTTGTCCTTTAATTTTGTTTTTCATGTCTTGATCTCATTTATTGAAATACATTCTATGTAGTTTCAACATAGCCTACATTCCTGAATCTGAGGATGCCGATGTAGATAATCATTCCTCGTGTTGATCTCATGGGTTTCACGTTGGAGAATAGATGTGCCATCAACTTTAAATGAAGTTTCAAACTTGCATCAGCTATGCATGTCATAGAGCAAGATGGAACAGGCTGCAGGGATGGACCGACAGTATTCCTGTCATTCCATTGACATATTTTGGGAAGCCATGTATCTACAACTGCAACTGGTTCCTCCTGTTTCTAATCTTGATTCTGCTGCTGCCCATTTTTGCAGCCTGTGGAAGGACATCCCCATGCCTCAGTTTCCTATTTGGAAAATGGGTTGATCATCTACCTCATGGGCAATTGAGAGTTTCATTTCACATCTTGTAAGATCTGAAAAATGGAAAGCACTCTATGAAGGCTAAGGGTAATTATATTGTTTCATGTAATTTGTCACCACTGCCTCCTGACCACTATTTCTCTTTCAGATGCTGTTTCTTTAGAATATTAAATTAAAGGAGTGGTGTTAGTGTGTGATTTCCAACTATTCCATGTGGGAAAATGATGTTTTATGAGTTGGAGATTAAATTTCTTTCTAATTTCTTAGGACTATATCCTTTTCAAAGACTTGAAATTAAACTTAGGAGGATGTATTTAGTATGATCTAAGGGGGAAAAGTATGTAATAAGATGGCAGAAGATGAATTCTATCCTTTTCTTGTAATTATCAGTGTAATATTGAAGAATACTCTGTGCTTTCCTGTGAAACATATTATTCAGAAATGATGATCATCTTTTTGGTTCTTTTAAAAAATAAACATAAATAAAGGAGACATTTGTTTTTTAAGTTTTAAACATAGCCTTGTCATGCTAGGGCAAAATCTTTAGTTGAAAGAATAATTCATTGTAGATTATTGATGAAGAGATTGAATTAATTATGTTGCTGTAAGACTGTCTACAAATAATAAAAATATTTAAATGTAATATATTTAAGTTGATATTAAATGCTTACTGGATGTTATCTGAAGATGTCAAGTGTGTGGTTGAGTAAAAAGTTGGCATATTTTTTCTTGTGCTGCGTATTCAATTTAATTAAAAAATTAAATCTCTAAATTTTCTTCCAAATTTTGACAGAAACCTATTATAAGCTTATATGTACAGCATCCTAGGGAACTCATAGTCTCTTAACTCTCTTACCCTTTTTTTCCAGTTTTAAGTATTTTGCATATCTTCCCTAATTCCCATGTTGAAGCTAAAGGGTAAAACCTATTCATGTCCAAAGAGAGCAGACAGGACCAGGTAACAAATTCTCGTCCCACTTTCTTTCTCTTTCTTGTTAATTGAGTAGGATCTCCTATCCCATTTTGTTGAATTTGTGGTTTGGAGTTGTTAGGGCATGGGAACTGCTGGTTTGCTTTACCTGTTGCATGCCAGTGAATGTTAATCCTTTGGGGAGCAGCGTGGGATATACATATATCCATGGTATATGACCAAATAAGGCATATGCAGCCCTGATATATTTGATGTATATAGCAAGTATAAGATGTATATATATACACACACATATATGTACACACACATATATAGACTCAAATATTGGGAAAAAGCATTATGCTGATATTCAACATGTAGTTCAGGTGGCTGTCTGTATATCTATCATCTATCCATCCATCCACTCATTCATCCATCCATCCATCCATTTATCTATCTATCTATCTACCTACCTACCTACCTACCTTATTTTTCTAGGCTATTGATTGACTGTCTAGTAATTCCCGCAGCAGAGAAGAATAATTTGCTATTCTTTATTCTTCTGGTTATGTTTTAATTTCAAAGACTTAAGTGTGATTTTCCTTTTTGCTAAGATTTCTGTCTTGATCAAAGAATTCTCTTCAAGGAAGTATGAACTAAGATTATTAGTTAAAAAGGAAAAACAGGAAATTCAAATAATGTTTTTATTTTAAGATGTATACATGATTTCTACTCATTTACTTCTAGAGAAAATTCTAGACAGCAATATCAAAACAACAAGAAAATGAAAATGAAAAGAAAGATTTAAAAGAATATATACTTGACAACTTGAAGGAGTGCAACACAAAATGTGCTTTTAGCTTCTTAAAAGCAAAATCATTGAGTTTTCCACTTCTGATTTTTCTAATAAAAGGATGTATAAACATTTAGTGGTAAGGTTTTTTTCACACTCAATACCAAGAGAATCTTTATTTATTCATTTATTTATTTTTGCTGAGGAAGATTAGCCCTGAGCTAACAACTGTGCCAATCTTCCTCCACTTATATGTGGGTTGCTGCAATAGCATGGCTGATGAGCAGTATAGGTCTGCGCCTGGGATCCAAACCCACAAACCCAGGTGGCTGAAGCGGAGCATGACAAACTTAATCACAGTGCCTCGAGCCAGCCCCTTCAGGAGAAATTTACTATAGGAATCCTTACATTTGAATCTCTGCATAGTCTATAATACCTGAAATAGAAAAAGAAGCATGAAAAATTTAGCAATTTCATTCAGGAATGCTAACCATCACTTACCATCAAGACACAGGTTTAAAATAGATTAAATAGATTACTACAAGAACCTTCTAACTCTTCACTCAAATTTAAATTCCTTCAAGTAGTACGCAAGGCCCTTTAGTACCTGGCCTCCAGCCTCTGTTGTGTCTCCTCTGATCCACCCACAGAGCAACATTTAATTTCAGGGCTTTACTCTATCACACTCTTTCTTCTCTGCAGTCCTTTCTTCCTGGAACTCCCTTACTGTATTCTATCTTATCTTCATCTGCCCTAACTCCTGCTTATCCTTCCAGTTCCGTTTGAGATACAACTTCCCCCAGGAAGCCTTCTGACCTATCAAGTCCAGTGTAGATGCTTCTGCTATGTGCTGTGTCAACACCTGAGCTGCCCATGTCATGTCCCTTAATACATAGCATCAGAATTGCATGTTTGAGCATCCGTCTCCTCTGACTAGACCCTGAGATCCTTATCAGCAGGATCTGTGACAGCCCTCTTCATCATTATATTCCCAGTACCTAAGACATAGTCACACTCAAGGAAGATTTCTTGAATTGCCAGAGGTAAACAAAGATAAGCCTAGCTTGCTTTTTCTTTTTTTGGAGAGAAGGGGTGTGGAGAATGTAAAAAGAGAAAGATGTGTTTGTTACCTGATTGTTCGTCCTCATTTTGGACATTAGCCAGTCAGGATTAGCTTCTATCTGTGAAGTATGCATAAAACACTCTCATCTAATCAACAAAACTTAAATGAAAACCCTCCAGATCCTCTGGGATAGACCCTGATTGAAAATTGAAACTTAAAGATAGATGCTGGCTCTAGTGGCAGAACAATACTGAGAGAAGAGGCAACCTCCGGGATCATTGTTCTTGACTTAAAGTGCAGGTAATCAGGCATAAATCATCATCAGGTGTGAGTGGAGCAGTGGGTGTCTCCACTCCACTCTCAGTGACTAAGTCCAAACTGCCCGAACCTGGATTTATGTACTTCTTTAGACGATTACACAAATTATCAATATTTTATTATAGTTGGGGCTCAGTAACCTGGTCGTGAACAGATCTTATTTGAAACAGGCATTTCATTCATACATGTAAATATAAAAAAGCTAAATCCAAGAACTTAAGATTATTTGAATTCCAAATGAAGAAAGGAAAAAATATCACATCTTGTTCCACTTTGATTTTATTCATGACCATTCCTTACTAGAAATTGCCATCTGAAGCTTTTGACATTCCCATTGTACGAATGGTGTTTTACGTGTGTCCACGAAATAAATTAGTTGAAACAAAATACAATGTCTCCTCCTAGTGCACTCTGATATTGTATGTGTCAATGCAAACACCAAAAAGCATGGCAGACTGTTTTAGGTTTATAATAAGCAGAATCTTGAGCTGCACCAGAGAGCGACACATTTGCATTCACGAAATGAGACAGTGTCCTGCTTAAAGCAACAACAATTCATTTTCTCTGCTCTCATCACTTGAGATGAGATTTGAATGTTATCAGCTGTGTATGAATTCAACCTCAAAATGGAAAGCACAAAGCTGCTAATTTGGCCTTGACCCTTGAATGCTCATACCACTAATCCTTGTGTTGATGAGAGTTTGTAAAACATTGTGAACTACCCAAGCATCAGTGGTAAAGGTTGAATGCATGACATTCCTCCAGATGAACAAGTCTTTAATTCTGGAGTTTGAGTGTTTGGCCAGATAGCTCTTCCTTCTGTTCAATGCCAGTTTCATTTGCATAAGCCAGGATCTGGCAAATCCAATTCTTCAGATCTTCTTTTTTATACCATAAAATCAATATCCTATCCTCCTAAAAGGATAAGGGAACAGAAAGAATTGTAAGACAAGAATGTTGATGTGCATATATTTACATTTAGACAATAAAAACCAGGTAAAATAGAAACTTATTTTAACCATAAGAGTAGCTGGAAAACATTGATCCAACTTGATTTTTCTTTAAACCAGAACAACAATAGTTGCATAATTTGAAGTTTTCAATCTATATTCAGATGGCTCCCTGCTAAGGCTCTTTTTCCACTTAGAACTCACTTAAATATCTAATTGACATTTATAGAATAATGTACTCAGCAACAGCAGAATGTACATTCTTCTTAAGTTCACATGGAGCATTCACCAAGATGGACTATATTCTTGGCCATAAAACACACCTTACTTAACAAATTTAAAGTAAAAATAATCATACAAAGTATGTTCTTAGGTCACAATAGGGTTAAAATAGAAATCAGAAAGATGAATGGAAAATCTCCAAATATTCGGAAATTAAACAACACACTTCTAAATAACACATGGGTCAAAAGATAAATCTCAAGAGAAATTTTTAAATATTTTGAAAGACATAAAAATACAACTTATAAAAGGTCTGGGATGCAGCAAAATCAGCACTTAGAGAGAAATTTCTAGCATTAAATGCGTATCTTAGAAAAGAAGAAAGAACTAAAATCAATAACCTAAGCTTTCACTTTAGGAAATTAGGGGAAAAAAAGAGCTATTTAAGCCTATAGCAAGCAGAAATTATAAAAATTAGAATATAACTAAATGACCTTGGAAACAGGAAAATAATAGAGAAAAGAAATTAAACCAAAACCTGTTTCTCTGAAAAGATCAGTAAAATTATACATCTCTAAACAAGCTAACCAAGAAAAGAGAAAGGACACAAATTACCAATATCAGAAATGATGACAGGGTCATCACTACTGATCCTTTTTCTCCCCAAAGCCTCCCATTACATAGTTGTATATTCTAGTTGTAGGTCCTTCTGGCTCTGCTGTGTGGGACGCCGCTTCAGCATGGCTTGATGAGTGGTGCTAGGTCTGTGCCCAAGATCTGAGCCTGCGAAACCCTGGGCCACCAAAGTGAAGCATGAAGAATGACCCGGGCTTCACAGAATGTACATGTGTGTCATGAGCACAGTCTCAGTTACAGGGACTGGTCCTCTTGGCATGTGAGTCCCATTCTTCTGTGATCTGACTCTAACTCAACTTAGGTGAAAAATCAATCAGTTAGAGGGATGGTGCCATCTCACAGAGAACCTCAGAATTAGGAAAATCTATATAGTTTCTTTAAACATAAAATTGTTGGTTGGCTTAATCACAATTACGTAGCATAGAGTGTGTCACATGTCATTAATAACATTGTGAATTAATAAAAACCATTTCAAAAGTTTTGCATCTTGGTGATACAAATGGTGTGCATATGTACCAATTTCTTAGTAAGTGTTCTTATCTGTAGGAATTAGGTAACATATAAAATGCCCAAGTGATGTATGATGTCATCAGGTTAGAAAAACACCTCATGGTGATGGTACCAGTGCCATGAGCAACCCATGACCAAGAGTTAATGAAGAAATAGGCTTTTCTTATTTGAACAGTAGTATAATGTATAATACAGACATATATTTATATGCATTCTATAAGATAAAATACTCAGCACAACTCCAATTTTAAAAATGTAAACTTAAAAATCAGTATATTTCAAACAGGATTCTGAGATAGCTGACAGAGAAGGGAAAATACTAT